TTTCATGCCCGGATCCCTCCGACCGGTGGGCTCGCCACCAGGTCCCGGGCACGCTGGGGCGCTGGGCACGGGGAGACCGAGGCTTTGTGCAGGCGGAGACCGGTTTGGAAGCGCGGGGACCGTGCCGAGTGTCTGCGTGCCGTCTCGTCTCTGGACCTGCTTATTTGGCGGTTTACTTTGCCTTCAGGCTGTCTGCCTTCTCTTTTGAAGCTTTTTGTGTTGGTGAGGGTCACGCCATTGCCCTTGGGAGACACCGTGAAGAGCGAACTGGCTCAAACTGTTGGCGGTGTGCACCGCTGGACATGGGGGGAGGGCAGTGAGCTGGACCCTGAGAAGCTGGGGGTGGGGTGGAAATGGGGGGCTGAGTCTCCACCAGGAATGCCTGAGCCTTGGTAGCTCAGATCCAGGCCGTTCCCTAAAGCGAGAAGCTGGGCTGGGGGCAGAGGAGGGAGAGCCCAGCCATTCCGTGGGGACAGCATGGGCAGGTGGCAGGGACCCTGAGGGGAAGGCCAAGAAGGAAGAGGGAGTTCCAGGAAGTAAAGGGGAGAGGGTCAGCAAAGTGGGTCTCTAGCAGGAGTAGTGTGAGGCTGGACTGAGGGAGAGAACTTGAGCAAATGTCAGCGGGAATCGGCTTTTAGCGGAAGAGTGAATGTAGCCCCTTTGGTGAAGAATAACAGGGGACACTGGGAAGGAGCGCTCAGTGAGATGGATGGAAAACTCATTTCTGGAAATCTGGGAGCAAGTAAAGCAGGAAGTGTAAGCTCTTGGAAATTGCTCTTTTTTTTTTCCAGCTAGATCTGCTGGGGCTCACCGGATTGATGTTTTGATGGCGTGAGGATTTTCTCACATCTTTAAGCCTTGTTTGAGCAAAAGATGATCAGATATCCCAGATCCTTTTCCTGTCTGAGATGAAACACATGCCATCCTGACCCCTTATGGAACTTTCCCCTGACCATTCCGGCGAACTCTTGCCCCAAATGGCCCAGCAGCGCATGTGCCTTTTCTGAGTGCTGGATTTTTATGCCCAGAGAACTCTGTTTACCTGGGAGTCTGTGTCTCTGTGGGAACTTTGTAGTTTTCCAGTTTGTCTTAGGGAATGCGGGCAGCCAGCATGCTGAAAATGCCTTTCCCTCCTCTGTTTTAATGGTAAAGATTAGATGTGTCCAAGTAAATGTTACCAAAATAAAGTTGGGTACTGGTGTTCCACTTAAAGAGATTCCACTTGGCTGTTCCCAGAAACCTTCAAATCATTGTGTGCGAATTAAAAATTTAAATAGGCTGAAGGGGGAGTGGGAGCTGCCGCAATGTGGGAGACCTGACTTTTCTCATCCCATCGCCACTAAATGCTGCCTGTTGGCAGTTGGCAGCCAGAGCCTCACAGTGATGGCCTCGCCCTCCTCAGGGGAAGGGGCAGGCGACACAGTTGCCTTGACAGTTTGGTGACGCCTAGGACCTTAGCCCAAGGAGAAGTGCACATGCGCACATCACAGTGCTGCTCTGAGAGCTCAGAAGGGGCTGACGATGGGGGTTTCAGCCCACGCAGGTTCAGGGAGCCCTGCGAGCACAGTGAGGCCCCTCAGCACTGGGGATTAGCGACAGAACTGAAGGGACTCTCCTCCCCCCCTGCGTAAGGGTGCCTGGGTGTGGCTGGCCTTCTGGCCTCCAGCGTGCTCTCCCCGCTCCCCGAGCTTGGTGTTTCGAGCACCTTGTTCTTTCCTCATGACCGCCTTGGCTGCTTTTTCTTCCTCTTAGCTAGCCACCGTGTTGAATTTAAAATATTTTTTTATTGAGTAGCATTTCATAGCACTTTATCTTGTTTTTAAAGAGGAGTACATTTTGAAAATCTTCAAAATGTTCAAACACCAAAATTGCCTTTCCTGTGAGCCTGATGTTCCTGCCGGTGTGGGAGTGGGCCGGAGCAGAATTCTAGTGCCCAGTCTGGCAGAGGCGCGTCACCCGGGCGGGACTCGGGCCCCTCTGCCGCGAGCCCCGCGCAGGTGGCCCACTCACCGCGCCGGCCCCGCTGGCTGGCCCGCTCTGTGGCGAAGCCTGCCCCTTGTTGGGGGCCGTGACCGTGACGGGCCTGCCAGTCACACGCCTGCTTGAGAAGCCGGAAGTCTGAGGCCAGCCCGTGCTCCCGAGAGCAAAGACGCCACGCCGCCCCGCGAGTAGAGGCAAGGGACCAGCCACCCTGGAAGCCCAGCGAGTGCCCAGCCGTCCTGGACGCATGGGCGACCCTTCACCAGCCAAGACGGAGCAAGGGGTGCCAGCCCACCCGCTCTTGGGCAGCCCCAAGATGCAGCTGGCCCCCAGGCTCGCCCCTGAGCCTCGCTGCCCCTTGGTCAGCAGCTGGACAGTGGGAGGTGGGAGGCACCCACCAGGTAAGCTCCACACCTCTCTGCCGAGTGGTGAGGGCCAGTTTGGGGACACTTCTCAGTAATGGATTCCGGCCACGGCGATTATTGTCTGGGGGGTTCAAAGGAATGTCAGGCACAGACGTGCACCACTTTATTCAACACAAAGTGTTTGTCGGGTCCCAAGCGCTGTGTTAAGTGCTGGCGATGAGCAGAACGTCACTGCTGCAGAACTTGGTCCCAGCAGAGGTAATCAGAGAGTGGCCGAGTGTGACGGTGGCCGTGGAGTGGAGCAGGACGAGGCGGGAGAGATAGCAGGAGGCAGGCTTGTGTCAGTCACCCACAGGGCTCCGTGACTTGGGGAGCACAGCTCACCCCACCTGTGCACACGCTTCATGCACCTCCACTAGCGCTCAGAGCCAGCGTCGGGCTCTCCCATCCCCACCCCCTCCCCATGCCCCAGGCTGGTCACGGGCCTGAGGTTTGTCTCAAGGAAGTTGTTCAGGGAGCTGCTGTCCCTGTGGGCGTCACTGAGGGGGGCCTGCAAGTATCGACCACGGCTCCGAGTAGACATCGGTGTGCAGAGCTGCTAGGAGGTGGCGGAGGGGTGCTCTCCCTCCCTGCCCTCTGATGACTGGAGAGGGCTCTCGCCACGGTGAGAGCGGGGAGCTGCTCAGCCGGGTGCATTCAGGGCGAGCAGCAGAGGCGCGGCGACCTGGCTTGGGAGGGCCGAGCCGTTGGTCACCGCTGCCCAGGTGGGCATCTCACTGTAGTTTTGGAGGGTGGACACAGCTGTTGTCCGGAGTGGACTTTGGGGGCCGAGGGGAGGGCGGGCAGCGTCCTTAGGCCGTGTCGGGAGGGGTGTCTCGCAGCAGGGCAGCGGGCGGCGGCAGGCAGGCTCGCTCCGGAGGTGTTTGACGCTGGTGCCCACGCTCTGTTCCGGGCGGAGAGAAAGCGAGGCGCGGTGATGGCGCCACACTCGGACGCCTTGGGAAAGGAGGGGCGTGTGTTTCCTGGAAGAGAGGCCAGGGGCCGGGAGAGACATAGTCTCCCCTTTCCCCCACCGCAGCGCCAGCAGGCCTGCACGGCGCCCTGCCTGCCAGGCCGTGTCCCGAGCTCTCTCCCCAGCCTGCCGGGCCTGCCCGCGCTCTGCTCACGTGTCCCCAGCCACTCGCCCTTTCCTGTGCTGCTGGCGCCGGCCAGCCCAGCACCCGCCCGCCCCCACCAGGTCTGGCGTGTCTCCCCCTCCCCCGTGCCCAGGCACCTGGCCTTTGTTTCTCTTTACCTTCCAGTCGCTGCCACAAACCTCGGTCCCCGGCCTGCCAGCGGTGCTTGCCAGTCTGAGGGGACCAGTGGGAAAGATCCAGACCCCCAGACCCGCAGGGTCCTGTGTGGCTCTGACCTCACGCCAGCACAGTTGTAACTGTCGTGTGTTTTCGTTCTTTCCAGCCCGCCTACCAGAATCTCAGACAGCGTGTTGACAACTTTGTGGCAAACCACTTGGCCACGCACACTTGGAGCCCCCACCTCAACAAGAACCAGCTGAGGAACAATATCAGGCAGCAAGTGCTCAAGTAAGTCCCGGGACCCAGAGACTCCCCGGGGTGGGCTGGCTGGTGAGTGAGGAACCTGCCGCCCCTGGCTGCCTCGCCGCTGCAGAGAGCTGCGGGGTCGCGTTCCCCGCGTGCGAAGTCCGGCTCTGCCTGTCGGCCCTGGAGGGCGGGCGGGAGGCCGCCAGCGCTAGATGGCGTACTGACCCCCGCGTCAGCCCGCGCCCCGTGACACGGCCATGTGGCTGCCGCGGAGCAGGCTGCTCTGTCCCATTTCAGGGCACCGACGTTGACGCTCTCTGGAGTTAAATGTCGCCCCTCGCTTTGTTTGGCCAGGTCTTCTGCCGTCCTGCACCGCTCTCTCTCTTCCTGTTGTCATGACCTAGCTCTGCTTCCTCATGACGGTGCAGCCAAAGAGGGAAAAGTGCGTTTGAACTGTTCGGGGCCATTTTGGGGAAACGTAAGATGGAGAATAAGAAAAACGGAATTTTTGCTAAAAAGAAAAGTTGTGTTTGTTCCCCCCAAGAGCGGATCTACGGTATTTGGTGGGACTCGGCCCTTGTCTAGTGGCTCTGTGCCCTCAGATGGTGACAGTTATTTAAAGAGTGCCCCGTCTTCCTGCCTTGACAGACTCTTATGTTTAAGCTCCTCTTGTAGAATGAAACGTGGCGTGTCAGCAGTTTCGCACATCTGCTTTATACCCGCCTTGCGTGTCGCCTCCTGTCCCCGGGAGCCTCGCGTGCCCAAAGCACTGTCCGTGGACAGCCCTGACCCGCACGGAGCCCCCACGCATCCCCCACACTCTGACGCCAAGACCCGTTCAGCCACAGGCAGCAGGAGCCCCAGAACCTGCGGCTTGGGCGTGAGGGAAGGGGAACACTTCACAAGAACTTTATTCGGGTGTCAAAGCTCGCGAAGGAACGTGGAAGAGGTCGGCCCGATCAGAAGGCGCCACTGGGGGCTGCGGGGTGGTGGGGTGGCGCTGGAGGGAGCGGCCTCCCTGAGAAGGAAGAGGTGGAGCTCTGGTGGTGCCGGCTGAGGGTTGCTTGCTTCAGGCTTCCTGGAGAGGAGCCGGGGCCGGGGTTCAGGGCAGAGCACCCACACTCCCCAGAGCGCCCGGGCCGCAGCATGCCCTTCACGCCTAATGGTGGCAGGTCCTCGATGAGGGGCTCAGGCTGGGATGATTGTAACGGCGCCAAGAAGATCCCAGCCGATCAAAGTGACTGTAGTCAGTTACTCCAGCACGCGGCTTCCTGATCCCGTCCTTTGGCTTGAAGCTGCAGCTCCTGCCCAGGTCAGGGCGACTGGCGGCAGCGGGGTCGTCTCCCTCCCGAGTTGAGCACGGGGCGCAGTCACCCCGAGTCCTGCGCGTACACCGTCTAGAGGGAGCAAAGTCGCCCTCTGTTCTCTAACGGAGGCCAAGCTCACGGTGCCCATGTTCAGCCCAGCACTCGGATTTCTACCGCCGGAGACGTCGTTCTCACGTGCGGGGCTGGGCCAGACCTTGTGCAGGGCAGGGCGCAGCCCGAGACTGGCATCCTTGCTCGGCTTCATTCAGGCCATAAAATTCAGATGCTAGGGAGCTCCAAGTCGTACTCTGAAGCGCACAGGATTTAAAAGGAGCACAAGGAAATCGCTGTAACTGGGAAAGCGTCAGCTCTCCTGTTGGCTTGGCCCTAGAGCCCAGGGCTGTGGTTTCTCGGCCTCTGGTGAGAGCCTCGCTGTGGCCAGACTCACCTGAGGGGCCCACGCGGGCAGGTGGGCATCAGCCTGGCCTCATTCTTACTTAAGATCAGGGCGTCCTCAGTGTCAAGTGGAGTGAGGGCCACGATACAGACAGACCAAGGCGCCCCTTTGTTTTGGGGGTGTCTCGTTACGCTGTTGTACTTAGTTTCACATCATGGAAGATAGCTTGCCCTTGTTTCTGGTCCACCTGCTACATTTTAAATGTGCCCTAAGATGTAAGAATGTTGGCAGGATTTGGTGGTGTGTGTTTTTTTTAAATCTTAGAACTTTGAAAAGCAGGTTACCTACTTTGAGTGGTGTTGGCTCATTTTTCTCTGTGGCCCACATACGTAGAATCATAGTATCACACGCTGCTGGTACTTCAGGAAATGAAAACTGAATACGCCGTCCACTCCAGACAGATCTGTACTCAAAATAGCCTGGGAACTGTGAGGAGAGAGCCTGAGCCGTTTTGCAGAGCGCAGTGGCCCACACTCCTTGGGCAGCACTGTCCGGGGAGCTGGGCCCCTGCAGTTCTCTGAGGAAGAAGCAGGTTTAAGTGGCTTTCTTAAGAAGGACGATTTGCCAGATACCTTTGTGATTTTTGGCACGTTTCAAACTTAGTCCCTCCTTGTTCCTCTGTCTCTCACACATGTTATTTCTTCAGATGCTTTCATCCGCTTCTCTGTGGAAAGAGGCTCAGCTCAGAGTTGGCCTTTGTGGATCATGCCACATCGACTTGCGCGTGTGTAGGCCTTCCTGTCCCATGCTCTTCCGATGCGGCGTGGCGTGCATTCGTGCCTGTCTCCACGTCCTCATCGGCTGTCTGTTTCTCTCACGTGGCACCCAGGTCCGACCTGTAGCTGCCCAGGGCCGCACACTGCCTGTTGTGTAGCAGAGGCTCGGAACGTCAGTGTTAGAGGAATAGATCACCCAGGCTTTACAGCAGGAATATGAAAAGAGAAAACGAGAGGTCTCTTTTATTTTGTATTTTGATGAGTGATCTTATTTTTGATGTCCTCGAGTTATTTCTTTTTTGTAAGTCTGATGCAGTCCACTTGAGTGTTCTTTCTGCCCAGCACTCAGCGGAGTGACCATTTCTTTGTGTGGCCTTGGCTGGGTGGGGGGAGAGAGGCGGCAGCTTAGGCCTGGGCCCGAGGGGGCATACTGCGTGTCGTGCCTAAGGTGTCTGGCTTGCGTAGCAGTTCCGTGTCTGTGTCCCACCTCTGACACGGTGCCAGGCCGCGTTGCGGCCCGTGAGTCTCCGTTCCCATGGGCGACTGACTCCCACTGCGGGTTCCTCCGGCATCCACTGGCGTGGGTGGGAGCAGATTATGGTTTAACGTGTGTACTAGAAACCGTTTTCCTTAAAAGAAAGACATGGAAATGACAGAAATTGTTTTTACCTTTCTGCAAATCATCCTGTGTTTCAGATCAGGAATGTTGGAGTCTGGTATTGACCGAATTATTTCTCAGGTTGTGGACCCAAAGATCAACCACACATTCAGACCTCAGGTGGAGAAAGCCGTGCATGAGTTTTTGGCCACATTAAATCACAAAGAGGAAGCGAGCGGCAGCGCCTCGCCCGACGACGAGAAGGCCGACTCTTCCGGCTTGACACAAGGTGCTTTGCTCTCTGTCCACTTGGCCGACTTTCCGCTTTTTGGTGTCTTCAGACCGGACACCGAGTTAGAGAGACTTGGTTCTTTGAAGCACTGACCTGCCCACATGTTTGTGTGTCTCTTAAGTGTCACCCAGTTTCCTTGACTGGCTTTATGTCAATACAGAATGTAGGCATTTTAGTCATGCATTGGGATGTGGGTGTGTTTTTCAGTTGAGGGACTAATTGAAATAGAGAGGGAGCTTTGGTAATTTTCAGATCGGCATGGTGTGTCCGTGCAGACATTCAGCTTAAAGAAGCAGCGGAGAATGTGCTCAGCGCCAGCCCTGGGCGGAGTCTCCACCCGAGCACGTGGGAGTGGAATCTCGGGGTTTTATACCCCAGGACTAGTTTTACATGACTTTTCGAAACCTGGCTGGAGTTTGCTGTCTCTTGTGCTCTTTTCACAAAGAAAATTTCCCAGTTGTATTTTTTTTTTAAGTTGTGACATATTCAGTATACAGGGTAATTTGAAACAAAAATTTCAAAAAATGCTTGACTATCAGGTTACCCGATCTTATCTTTTCACTGAGTTTAATATGTTTCTGCCAATGTATTTTTCCCCATGAGTACGCTGTTTCATTTAACATCCTTAGCTTGGTCAAAACAGGAAGCAAAGGAGAAGTGACTCAGAGGGACATACCTTCTGCATAAATTTACTCTAGCGCTGTCTTTCCTTCAAGGCGTCCCTGTCCCTGGGCCCAGTGCTAACGCAGCCAATGATGCTATGTCCATCTTGGAGACCATAACGTCCCTTAACCAAGAGGCCAGTGCTGCCAGAGCCTCAACAGAAACACCGAATGCCAAGAGTACTGAGAGAGGATCCAAAAAGCTCCCATCTCAGCCAAGCATGGATGCCAGTGCTGAGAGAGACAGAACTTCAGAAGACATGAGTGATAGAGAAAAACCTCTCCCCGACTCTGGGGCGGAGGCACAGGAGACAGCCCCTAGGTCTGAAGAGCTCAGTGATCTCCCTTGCCCAGTTGAAGAAACTAAAAATCATGTGAGAGAGAGTAATAATTCAGTTCCACTCAGTAAAGATGTGCAGCCTGAAAGCAGTGACCAGAAAGCTAAGTTAACAGACAAGGGTGAAAAGAAACCAGACAGCAGTGAAAAAGGAGAGAGGAAGAAAGAAAAGAAGGAAAAGACAGAGAAGAAATTTGATCACTCCAAAAGAAATGAAGATACACAAAAAGGAAAAGAGGAAAAACAAGCCAAGGACAAAGAAGCAGAGTGTGCGAAGCCCCCCTCAGAGAGGGGCAGCAGCAGAGCCAAGGGCAGCGAGGGGGCAAAGGAAGGTAGGTGGGGACTGGTCAGCCCGACCCCGCGTGCGCAGAGCGCCCCGCCGGGAGGTGCAGACTGCGGGCTTTGATAGATTTGCTTGAAACTTATGTTCAGAAGTCTGAAAGCTTATATCCCCTTTGCTAAAGAACTTGCATCTGTCCGCTTCTTTTCTCTAGTAGTGTATCAGTTCACAAAGTAAATGAAAGCTTAAAACCTTGTAATTTAATGTTACAGTTTATTTACATATATTACTGGAAGCAGCTGTGCTCATAATTGTCTACCCTCATTTAAGTACTAGATGGTGAGTATTTCGGTGACTCCAGGTTTGCTTTCGTTTATGTCACTTGCATCATCAGTTAGTATTTTCGTTATTTTTATCGGATACTAATTTGCCTTTGTATTTTCTGGAAGCAGCCCCAACTTACTTGATAGCAGTTACTAATCATGTGGAAACTTCATTTCTTTTCTTTTTTCTTTTAAGATTTACTTGGCATACAAGAGCTGGGGTGTAGGCCAGAGGTGCGGGGAGAGGAGGGAGAGTGAGAGGATTCACCAGAGACAGTGAGGAACTGGGGATGGAACTCGTGCTGCAGTGCCTGCGGATAGCTTCATGGTGCTGCGGCTTAACCCATCGCTCCACCGTTGAGGCCCTTTTCTTTTCTTTTTTTTTTTTTAGGTTTATTTATTTATGCATACAAGAGCTGGAGTGTAGGTCACAGGTGTGGGGGGAATTGAGAGGATTCACCAGGGACAGAGTGGGATGCAGACAGGCAGATCTGCCAGAAAGTAGGAACCATTGAGAGAGCAGTGGGTGAGACATGAGAGGTCTGCTGTACCCTGTGGTCAGCTCCCGGACTGAGGATCGAACTTGTGCCACAGCGGCTGCCGATAGCTTCAGTGCTGAGGTTTTACTCCTTGCACCACCAGGTAGACCCAGAGAAAATTTCATTTCTGAGGTCCACATTCTTTGACATGTATTTTAAAGTCGAATTTTAAACAAGACTAGGATTGGGAGCCAAGTGCGTTCAGGTCACGAGGCCATCTCTTTATTTTCATCCTAGATTGCTCTCTGCTGGGCTCTGATGTAGATGGGCTTACAGACATCACGGTGAGCTCCGTCCATACCAGTGACCTTTCATCTTTTGAAGAAGACACCGAGGAGGAAGTAGTAATGTCTGAGAGCATGGAAGAAGGAGAGATTACGTCAGACGGTAAAGCATTACTTAGTAGTGCCTGTGTGAGGCTGCCTACCGAGCGCTGTTGGTGTCATGGTATCATGATACCGCCACCGACTCCAGAGAAAGGCACATCATGATACGGCACTGCTTGTACCATGGTGTCATGGCGGACAGTGTGGTGTAGTGGCAAGAGCATGGGGCTGTGTAGTTGGAAGATCAGTTTCTGAGCCCCAGCTCCGGGGTTGTCTGAGCAAGCTTGGTGAGTCACAACATCTCAACAAGCCTTGGTTCTCCATCTCCTAACTCCACCCACCAGGATGAGAGAAGATTCAGATCAAAGATGTGTGTGATGCTGCTGTGTAAGGAGTGTGGGTGGGTGGGTGGGTGGCATCGGGGCACCGACCAGGAAAAAGCCTATACTTCTGACACAGGTTACAAGTTTGTGGTCCCGAGACCACAGCTGGGTTTAACGATGCGCTCATAGGATTTGCAGAGCTCGTTGAAAGCTCTTGGCTGCCTGACTGCAGTTGGTCACAGGTGAGGAGGGCAGACTGGCCTTGGCCGGGAAATGGGCGCCCGGAGCAGGGTCCAGAAAGCTCCAACACGGAGCTTCCATCTGTCCTTTCTCTGGAGTCGGTGATGGCATCACTTTCCTGGCATCGGTATCTGACATCATTCACGGACTGGCCGACGAGGCAGGTGACTGGAGGTGACTGTCCGAGTTTCCTCAGGGCTCAGAGCTGTTGCTGACCTGTCCCTGTGTCTGGCTCGCTCACCGGTCAGGCTGATCTCCGTGACCCAGAGTCGGCCCCCAGCTCACGCTGACAGGTTTGGCCTGCCCCAGGGCCCCCAGGCGATGTCAGGCCAGGCATCCAGAGGTCTCGTGGGGACGCCTCTGAGCCACTGGCAAAGACCAGGCCTCTCTCCCTCGGCAGTTCGTTCGTCACCTGGCCCTCACACAGGCTTGCACCACTGGCCGAGTGGTTCTGGGTCCCGCCTCGCGCAGGCCGCACAGGTCCAGGCGGAGCAGCGTCACCGGGGGACGCGTCCCTGGCCGGGTCGTGGTGCTGGTGCACAGCGCTGAGCGCGACTGTGGTCTCGGCCTTTCCCCAGCACCTCAGACAGCACTTCACAACGTGATCAGATTTTCTTTATGGCCTTTAAAAAAAATCAAAGATACTGAAAATGATTTGCAATGCCTTAAGGCAGCTTCTTCTAAATTTGCTGCTGACTTCTGGATCAAACACCTAGAGAGGAGGACATAGAAAAAAGCAGTAACCTCAGGTGTGTTTTCCAGTCTCTCTCGTTGTCACTCTTTTCTTAATATCTGTGAGGAAATTAAATGGCCGATTCAAAAAGTCACCTGCCATGCTCCCACTTTCTCCTGGAGGGAGGCCTGTTCTCTGCCCACGTAGGGCAAATCCTGCTGTCCCACGCACACCCCTCTAGCCTAACTGGGTTTGAAGTCCAAGTGCTGTTTTGAGTCCTTTAAGGTTTTTCCTGGACCACTAGATTTTCTCAGTAGGGAACTCAAAAAGTAAGAATAGGCCATGTTGGGAGTACTGAGCAGTGTGTGATATAAACCTTGTCCATGAAGGGTTTTTCCCTTTTGTTATTTGCTGGATCCTGGGGCAGCAAATCCACTTTCCTAGAAGGTTCTGGTGTAAATTCAAGTCCTGCAGCTGATCTCTGAGATCTCAGCTTCGAGTGGGCGCGCTCAGCTTAACAGTGGTCAAGCCCTCCCTCACACCTACCTGTCTGCCGACATGCATGAGAAGCGACTGTTTGACGGGAAGACATAAGTAATTAGAAGACTTCCTCCTTCATGTGAGAAGCTGTTTGCTAAGGATTAAACTAAAATACAGACTGCATAGCCTTTAAGAATGCCAGTTTGAAGTCGCGCAGACTGAAACTGGGCTGAGACTCCGCTGACACCACACTGATGAGCTTTGCTGCTGCAGTTTGATCGGGCACTGAGGGTTTCGTTGCTGGTTTGCCGAAGCACACCTCTTTCTGTTGCCTTTCTTCCAGATGAAGAAAAATGCAAGCAGAACAAAACAAAAACGCAAACCAGTGATTCTAGTGAAGGAAAAGCGAAAGGGGGGCGGCACGCGTACGTGCACAAGCCCTACCTTTACTCCAAGTACTACAGTGATTCCGACGACGAGCTGACGGTGGAACAGCGGCGGCAGTCGATTGTAAGTCAGCTAGGGTCGTTCTCATCTGTGGGTCAGGTTGGCAGACTGACCCCTGTGTGCAAGGCCCTGGTGAGTGTATGAAAGTGACCTGTGGGCCGTGCCTTCAGGAATGTTGCCAGTTAACAGCAGAATAGGCATAACCATGTGACAGAGGTGACTTGTCCTTGTAAGTAGCAGTAGCTTGGTAGCCTGAATGTTTCGTGATATGGAAATGTTTGAATCGAGTGTGAATCAAGCCTACAAATGTGTGATGTGCGGCCATTAACATGATACCAAAATATTAACGTGTTTTCTAGATTTGAAAATACTTCTAATTATAAAATGTGTCATTAAATTAGTGAGTTTAATGACTTACTAATTTTTTAAAGATTTATTTATTTGTTCATACAGAACTGGGGTACAGGCCAGAGGCTCAGGGGCAGTGAGAGGCTTCACCAGAGACAGAGTGGGGAGCAGAACAGGCAGATCTACGAAGCACACTGCTGAGGGGAGCAGCGCGCCGGCCAGGAGAGGTCTGCCGCGCCATGTGGTCACCTCCGGGGCAGGCGGGGATCGAACTCACGCGGAAGTGGCTTTAGCGTCTTAGTGCTGTGCTTTAACCCGCTGCGCCACCAGGGAGGGCCAGTAGTAGCTTTTTAAGAGGAAAAAAAATGCGACCTCACTCACTGTGTATATCAGCTTCAAGATAGCTTATAACTTCAGAAACACTAAAATAAAAAAAGTTGTGCATCTTCAAAGTAGGAAACAGATGAAATGGTGTGGAGAATGCACTCCAGAATGCTAACGGTGGCCTGTCGTGTGAAAGTTACTGATGAGAAGCATGCCAGTGCTTCGCACTCGGGGCACTGTGTTCTGGCCAGGACTGGACCCTCCTTGGCTGTGCAGTAGGACAGCAAAAACCCACAGCCGAAACCTGTGAGGCGCGTTGTTGTAGCCCCAGAACGTCACTCGACTCCACATCTCACCTTTCCCTGTAAGAATAACAAAGCGGACCCGCCCTGGCTGCGCAGGGGGTTAAAGCGCAGCACCGCAAACAGGCCACAGCCACTTCAGTACGAGTTCGATCCCCGGCCCTGGAGGTGACCCGCAGTGTGCAGCAGACCTCTCCCGACCTGCCCGCTGCTCCCCTCAGCAGTGTACTTTGTCCGTTTGCCTGTTCTGCTCCCCACTCTGTCGCTGGTAAAGCCTCTCGCCGCCCCTGTGCCTCTGGACTTTACCTCAGTTCTGTATGCACAAAATAAATAAATCTTTAAAAAAAAATGGAGAAATCCCAGAGACTGGCATAGGTGCACTTGATGTTTACGTGTATTCTCACAAGTCTCTTTTTCAGTGAAGTAGCTAGTTTGTTAAGTCACCATTCATGAAACAATGCCTTTCTCATTCTTCTATTCAAATCACTGGCATTTTTCAGCTCTTGTCTCTTCTATTGTTCTGGTACATTCCAAATTATGTAGTTTATTTGCACTTTTGAAGAGGCTATTAATTTGTAAGACTCTCTGAATGGCCACACTTGTTTTTTTGTTTTTTTTAGCTGTTTTAATTTTTTTGCTTTTACCCAATAAGCATGACAGTTTTATGGTTTTAGGCTAAAGAAAAAGAGGAGAGGCTTATAAGAAGGCAAATTAATAGAGAAAAACTGGAAGAAAAACGAAAACAGAAAGCTGAAAAGATGAAGTCTTCAAAAGCTAAGAGCCAAGGTACGGGGTGTTTATTAGGATGATAACTTTTAATATGTTAAAGCTATCTTATTTTATGCTCTTTTATTTTTTGGTTTGTCATACTGCTTAGGAGATATGTTTATAAAATGGTCTGAATTTATCTTAGTTTAAGCTATAAGCTTTTCTGTTAACTATTTTCAGGAGAGGAAGATTTGTGTTTTAACAAATCTGATATATTTAGCCTCTTTTTATGAAATTGCTATATCTAAGTGAAACAGTTCATCAGGCCTACCAACTCACACAACACATGGGTTAGTTTCTTTTCCAGTATCACTGGAAAAATGAAGCATTAACATGCAAGTAATCAAGCCCTCCTGGTGACAGTAATGGAATTAATGTATGCTTCGTGTTAACTACAGTGTCACATTTATCTGGAACGTTTCATTGAACAAAACAGCACTTCCTTGCACTGATATTCTTGTCTAATATACAGATGCAAACAAATACGAGCTTTAAGATAAAAATGATGAGACTTCTCCATCTAAAATATTATTTCTATTTCAACAGAACGTAAAGATATTAATGCCATTTTGCATTCTCACAGTGATGAGAAGATGTTAATGAAAAATTGATAAAGTTTACACTGTTTATAAAACTCTTCTAAAATACAGTTTGTTGATCGCTTTTTTCATAGGCAAAAGTAGTATGGACTTAGAGGAATCATCAGCAAAGGGTCTGGAACCTAAAGCCCCCAGAATTAAAGAAGTCCTTAAGGAGCGGAAAGTGCTAGAGAAAAAAGTAGCTCTAAGCAAAAAACGGAAAAAAGATTCCAGGTACCTGTTTCATCTGGCCACGTTCCCATTGTAACGCATCCTAGCATGCTTTTAGAAGAGGCATTGAAAACGACAACTGAGAGCCAGGCCTTGGCTGTGTGTTATTACAGGTTTATAAAAGATCTTGTTTGCTCGTAGCATCACAGTGCATAGTGTTTGAATGTCTATAATATTGCCAAAGTGTGTATCTTACTCCTTTGGGGGCTTCCAAACCTATTTGAGGGGTGGTTGGTGTCTTCGACTTTTCCCCGGAGAAACGCAACATGCATGAGCACGCAGCTTTCCTGGAGCTGCAGAGTGCTGAAAGTCCTCAGGAGTGTCTGTGTTCTGGACGTCCGGCAGCCACGTAGTTACAGTGACAGCACCCCTTTGCCAGTCTTCCCAGGCAGCCCTTTCCACATGGTTCCAAATTCTTTTTCACACTGCGATCTCATGGTTAGTGCTGTCAGACTTAGAAGCTGGGGGACTCTTTAACAGTAACGATGAAGTCATAGGTGCCTAGACAGGCCACTGTCCTTCAAGGTGCAGTCAAGTAAGCATGTTATGGCGCCGAGGAAGGCGAGTCAGTCACTTGCAGACTCACTGAGAAGAGTCAGCGCTCAGTTTTCTCCTACCTCATGCCCGTTATCCTGTTTACCCAATAGTGGAAAACTTTCAAGATACAGTTACAGGCCCTAAGTTATTCACCCTCAGTCAACAAATCAGTGTGTTTGTTTGAAGTAGACTTTCCTTTAGCCCCAGGAGTAATCCATGGCACCTTCGGGACAGTTCTCCACTGCTGACAAAGGTCAGGGCTCCATTAGTATGTAACGAGTCTCCTCCGTTTGTAGACCAAGTGTTTGTCATAAAGGAAAGCCGAGTTCTTTCTTCCTGAGAAATTCTTATATTTGTTTCAAACAAAGTGCATATCTGATTTTTTCTTTCCACTTAGGAATGTTGAAGAAACTTCTAAAAAGAAACAACAATCTGAAGAAGATTCCAAAGAAGCCCTTCGAGCAAATGAGGTGTGTCTTAATTAATAAAACGCCACGTAACATGCTGTTTTGTTAGATAGAGGCCGTTTTAGCCTCTGAGTAAATTTTCCGAGTAAAACAATCCCTCATGCTTGGCGTTCTTGAACCCTTAGCCTATGAAGGCCTGAATTCCTCCTTTTGACAGACCATTTCCTATGATCTTTTATCTACATAATGGCTGCTTTTCCACCCTGTCTTCTCCCACATATGGAAATAACAGAGTTGTCGTAGTAGCAGTGGGAAGGCAAAGGGTGAAAACTAAACCCCTCAGCCACCACAGTCATGTCTCACACTCGCCCACCCTCCACATGTGAGCTGATGTGTGCAGTGGATATGACCTGCAGAATCTCCTTCATAGCCCGTCTTCCTCGCTACCTTGTAACCTCCCTACTTGTAAATGTAATGATCCATTGAGTAAGTGGCTGTATCATTTTGAACATTTTTTATAGTTGAATACTGAGGTTATTTCCAACATTTGACTATTGCAGATAGTAAGAACTTGCCAAGAGCACATTTCTTCCACTTTTTAAATTATTTTCTTGGGTTAAACTTTTCCATCCCCTGCGTTTCAGTCCCTAATCATGCTTCATTTGCCATTCCTTATCTGAACTACCTTGACACTTTCCAGGGGGGAAGTAACAACTTAAAAGTGGTTACTTGTAGCCACTAAATATTTCTCTACTAGAAATTAAAAGTATATTTATAAGTATATCCTGATGTTTTGATGGCATAGTTTTTAGATATTTAACTTCATATTAGGATAAATTTCTGTAGAAAATGGACTTACTAAGTTATAGTCACATTATTTGGTTCAAATTTACAGTGAAATTAGGTTAATAAACTATCTGTTCTTTCTTTGAGGAATTGAATTTTGAAGTATTTTTAAGATCGTGCCAAGCTCTCACCCTGTGCCAGTAGAAGAGCCTCAGTCCGTGTGTAACACTGAGGAAGGTGCAGCAGTGCAGACCGAGAGGCGCACAGGTCTTCTGACGATTCCCAGTGGTTGTTTGAGTAATAATCACAAGTAGTCAGCGAGTCTGTTAAAGCTTGGCTAGTCAGCATCTGCTCACTGATATTAGTATTCTCCCTGGTTTCCCTTGGAAACACAAACTCATATATATTACATGTAAGGCAGCTACTGTTACTTTGGGTTACCGTGTGCATTTGAAACTTCTAACTAGAATGCCCTCCAGGTAGCCAGAATTCATGTGCTTTCCATAAATAACTCTGGTTTCCAAGTTAGAATACAGAAAAACCTTGAGTTCAGTGTAAAATTTTTGTCTTTATCTCAGATATAACATTTTGGGACTCAACAGACTGCTGGGCTCTTCTCCATTCCAGTCACGTTTGTTGTTGACCAGGCATTAGTGGGCATTCGTGATTTGCCTCCTAAGTGCAGGGGCAAATCTCAGGAGAAATTGCGGTTCTCCATTGACATTCTGTGATGTGGTGGAGAGAGCACCAGACTCAAACTCATCGCCGGGGTGTCAGCTGTAGAAAATGCTGAGCCGCAGTTTCCTGGTGCCTAACATGAATAATACCTACCTCAGGCCTCTGGCAAAACTAAGGGAGGTGTAATATGTGCGGCGTTCAGCATTTAAATGCCCCCAAATGTTACATTTGAATATACAACTGATTTTACTGTTTCTCATATTTTCTTACAGCATTGTGAAAAGGAAAAGGTGTCTTCTTCAAAGGATTCGAAGCATGTTCATGCAAAAAGTGAAGCAGGTAAACCTGCTCGGAGGCTCTCGGAGTCTTTGCATTCAGCCGAGGAAAACAAAAACGAGCCCAGAATGGAAAGAGAACACAAAAGGAGGACTTCCACCCCCGTTGCGGTGGAAGGGGCGCAGGAGGAGACCGACGCGAAGGATGTTTTGAAAAGGCAGGCAGAACGCTCCGATGCAGGCACAGAGGAGCCCCAGAAGCAGAAGGGGGCCTTGAAAACAGAAAAGCACCTGAAGAAGGACGACTCAGAAACAGCGCATTCGAAAAACCTGCCGAAGAGAGAGGCGAAGTGCGCCAAGGAAAGGCTGGAAAAAGAGAAGCTTTTGTTAGAAGACAAACCTTTGCCTATGAAACACAAATCCAAAGGTGACGGTACACATAAAACAAGCGATGAGGCCGAGCCTCAGTCTTCTGATAAAGCCCTGAAAGCGGATGAATGTGTTCAGAAGCCGCGGCAGCCAACCATGCCGTCTGCAGATGACAAACCAGAGCGAAAAAGTAAACACCGCAATGAAAGGAAGCTGTCCGTTTTGGGCAAAGATGGAAAGCCCGTTTCCGAATACATTATCAAAACAGATGAGAACGTTCGCAAAGAAAACAGTAAAAAAGAGAGACACCTGTCAGCCGACAGAGCTAAGGCAGAGCACAAGTCGAGGCGATCCAGTGATTCCAGACTACAGAGGGACTCCCTGAGCTCCCGGCAGCATGGCGTCCCCTCACAGAGAAGAAGCGAGAGTTACTCAGAGGATAGGTGTGATGCGGACTCCACTAATCTGGATGGGAATTCAAAACCAGAAGAGGCAGCTCACAAGGAGAAGAGGAGAACAAAGAGCTTGCTCGAAGAGAAGCTTTCGTTAAAGTCAAAATCCAAAAGTCAAGGCAAGCAGTTGAAAGTAGCTGAAACAGAGTTACAAGAAAGTGTCCCGAAACAGGCAGCCGCTTCAAAACCAGACAGAGAGAAGCCCACAGAGGAAGGTGACCCGGATAGACAGAGAAGGCCTAAAGCTGAGGACAGGCCCTCTGAGGAGACCAGTGGGGCCGGCGGTGAGCCCGGGGTGGAGAGCGCCATCGCTGGGGCCCACGGCGCCCACAAGGAGTCTGGTCACCGGGCCAAGGCCCCCGCAGCAAAGGACAAGTACAAGGGTGATAAAGACTCCGGCTCTTCCAGACTGGAGAGAAAGTTAGCAGATGGACACAAAAGCAGAACCTTCAAGCACAGCAGCAAAGACCCGAAGAAGAAGGAAGAAAACCGATCTGATGACAAGGATGGTAAAGAAGTCGACAGTAACCATGAAAAGGCCAGAGGCACCGGTTCAGGCGCAGACAAGAAATTAAGTAGGAGGCTGTGGGAGAACCGAAGAGGGAGCGTGTCGCAAGAAGTGAGCAAAGGAGAAGAGAAACTCGCAGCCGGTGCCTTGGCCACCCCCAGTACTTCCTCCCTCCCTAGACCCAGAAAAAGTGGCGACTCCACACTGGCCACTGAGCAGGAGCCCATGGAGGTGGACGCGGAGCCGGCCGTGGAGCGTGTCTGCGATGCGCCGGCACCCCAGGAGGGCGGCAGCGCCGGTGCGCAGCCAGGTGTCGACCCGGAAAACGTTACCAAGCAAAGATCTGCCGCGGCTGTGAAGGACGAATTGAGAGCTTCCGCGGTCGATTCAAAGTCAGGAGCTCCCACCTGCAAGGCAGGGCGTGGAGCAGGCGCTGTTAGTAATTCTGACAAACACACAGACCACAGAAGCACCCTGGTCAAGAAGGGGCACGTCCAGGGTGCCGTGTCCAGGTTGAACCCTGGGGAGAAAGAGCCTGCCGAGCAAGGAGCTCAGGAAGGGAACGTGGACCCTGATGCCGGTGCCCGCTGGTTACCCCGTGCCCTGTCGGAAAGTGAGAGGGCGCAGAGGAGCCTGAGGGCCACGAGCAGGCCCCCTGCAGAGCACGCCTCTCCAGCAGACACGGCTCCCGGGCATCCGGCACAGCCAGACCCGCCCCCGTCCCTCGGCGCCGTGACTGCTGCACCACAGGCTCAGTCCCAGGAGCCAGATGTGGCGCAGGCTGACGAAGGGCTGGCTTCAGAAGGGGGTGCAGGCAGCGCCTCGCCTCGGCGTGACTCTGACGTCCCTAACCAGGCTTTGACCGCCTTTAGGGCAAGGGACAGCAGAGAGGGCGGCGCGGTTTCCACAGCAGACACGCAGACTGAGGCCGGCGCGGGTGGCAGAGGGCACCAGGCTACCTCACTGCCCAGTAAACAGAGAAAATCAAACGCACCTCTTGACAGGGACTCAGCGGACAGGAGCGTGGAAAGCAAGAACTTGGACAGAGAAGGTGACTTGGTGGACACAGCCAAGACAGAAAGGGCCGTAAGTAAAGGGCCCAGCTCGAAGCAGGCAGTGGGCGCTGCGGGTGTGAGTGACAGGAAGGCCGGCTCGGCTGCTGGACCCGTGGCGGGTGTGCGCACCGGGGAGGACGCTGCAGCTGCCCAGCAGAAGCGCTGCGGAGGCCCAGGCGGGACAGCGGGCGCAGCGGTGGGGGCTGAGCGAAGGACTGAAAACAGCGAGGTGGACACCAGTGCTGGCGGCGCCTCTGCCTCGTCTCTCTCGCCCCAGAGGGCGGGCGCGGCTGAGAGGGCCGCGGCCAGGACACCTGTCCCCACCAGCTCCGAAGGGAAGGGCAAAGGCGTGACCTTCGGCACAGTCAAGGCGGGGGCGGCCACCACCACTTCCGCAGAGGCGGGAGCCGGGCAGCTGGCCGTGCCCTGCACCAGCATCGAGGCAGACGAGGGCGTGACGGCGGCCTCCGGAACCGCGCCCCGCGGCGCAGGGGCAGAGGCCAGCGGCCGCACTGTTCTCGCCGCGGCCGAAGAAGGTGGGGGAGTTGTCACGGAGGGGCTTGCCGAGAGTGAGACCGTCCTCACGAGCACCAAGGAAGGCGAGAGCAGAGAGGCCGCCCTGGCTGAGTCTGGGCAGAGCGCCCCCGCCGCCGAGCCAGCCGGCGCCGCCCCGGGGGCAGACAACACCGGCAGCGCGGCGACAGAGGACAAGGACGACGCGGTCACCAGCGCCGGCTCCTCCCGCAGGGACTCGGAAATGGCGGGAGGCGCTGTGGCTTTCGTCAGCGAGGTGGAGAGTGACGGCGCCGTGACCAGCGCAGGGACCGACATAAGAGCAGGGTCTCTGAGCAGTGAGGAGGGCGATGGGTTCCAGACAAGTGCCCTGAGGATGGGCCCCAAGAAGGAGCCGGAGGGGACCGTGACCTGTACGGGGGCTGGAGGGAGAGGCGGCGGCTTCGCCGTGTGCGCCGTGGCCGGCGCCGGGCCGCCCGAGGAGCGCCTGGTCTCGGGGGCCGCCTGTGGCGGGGCGGACAAGGCCGCTCCCCCGGGCACGAGCGCCCCCCAGGAGGGAGACGGCTCCGCCAACGACGGCGCGGAGGGGGAAAGTGCCGTCACCAGCACGGGGATCACGGAGGAGGACGGCGAGGGCCCTGCCAGCTGCACGGGCTCCGAAGAGAGCGGCGACGGCTTCGCTCTGAGCTCTGAGTCCGAAGAAAACGCAGAGAGCGCGATGGACAGCACGGTCGCCACGGAAGCCTCGGACGCGAGGCTGGTGGCCGCGGGGCCCGGGGACGACGAGGGCGTGGTCACCAGCACCGGCGCCAAAGAGGAGGACGACGAAGGGGAGGGCGTGGTGACCAGCACCGGCAGGGGCAACGAGGTCGGGCCCGCCGCCACCTGCACCGGCCTGGAAGAGGAAGGCGAAGGGGCGGTGATGAGCCCGAGTGCCGGAGAGGGGGACCCGCCCGCGCGGACGGCCGCGGGCCGTGGGGCTGAGGCGGGAGGGGCCGTCACAGACGCCAGTGAGAGTGACGTCGACAGCGTGAGTGGTGAAGGCGCGAAGGGGACCAAAGCCCCAGAGATCGGCTCCAGCGCCAAAGGGATCGTGGAGAGCAGCGTGACCAGTGCTGCGCCGGGGGCGGGGCCGGCCACGCGCGGCCCCGGAGGCTGTGAGGGGCCCATGACCAGCGCGGCGGCGGCCGGTCAGCGCGACAGTCAGCCGGCTGTGGAAGGGGCCCCCCTTTCCGCCGACCTGGTTGGGGGCAGTTATGAGGTGCGCGTGTGTGGCGCAGCCCCGGCAGGTGGCATTCATCACACATCCACGAGCACAAAGGAAGATGAAGGCACCATCACCTCTGTGGAAAATGAAGAATGTGATGGCATGCTGGCCACCACCGCCAGTGACAGCGTCGCCCACCAGGCCGGGGCAGCCGGGGGCAGGAGCCGAGGCAAAGGTGAGATCTCCACCAGCAGAGCAGGCGGCGGTGCCGCTCAGGCAGGCAAGAGAATGGACGTGGAAGGAGGGCACTCCAGTGCCCTGGGAGCGGAGGGCGCCATGGATGGCGCCAGGGTCCGCAGGGAAGAATTTGAGGCCCCCATGCCCAGTGCAGCCTCCCGTGACGAGAGCCAGCCGGCCGCTCCGGGAAACGAAGACAAGGACGAGTGCGCCATGATCTCCACCAGCCTGGGGGAGGAGTGCGAAGTGCCCATTTCCAGCGCCAACTCCAAGTTTCCTGAAAGTCAGCCCGCTGGCGCCACCACTGAAGAAAGAGCCCAAGGCCCACGCCTGGTGAGCACCGAGGACTTCGAGGTGCCGATGCCCAGCGCCCCCGCAGAAGTCGGACGTCCTCTCGCCTCGACCAGCAAGGAGGAGAAGGACGAGTGCGCGCTCATTTCCACCAGCATCGCGGAGGAATGCGAGGCCTCCATCTCCGGTGCCGCCGAGGAGCGCTCCGTCACCGCCGCGGAAGAGAAAGACGGGAGTGCCATCATCTCCACCAGCTCGGTGGAAGACTGTGAGGGCCCGGTGTCCAGCGCCCTCCCCCAGGGGACGGGCCGTCCCTCGGCCACCGCCGCGGAAGAGCTGGGCGACGCGGCCATGATCTCCACCAGCACCTCTGAAGGCTGCGAGGCCGTCATGCTGGGACATGGCCCGCTGGACCAGGAGCAGCCCAGCGCTGCGAGGGTGGAGGACTCGAGTGACACCGCCCTCATCTCCACCAGCACAGTCGAGTGTGTGCTGATCACCACCGGCCTGGACACGCATGGAGAAAGCCAGCTGACCGCGAACAAGCCGGAAGGGATGATTGTGGCCTCCGCTGCGCTGCACAAGTGTGACATCCCAACGCCCAGCCTCATCACTGAGGACAGCTGCCAGCAGCCTGGCCCGTGGACAGGAGGACAAGCAGTGGGCCCCATGGGGACCGTGAGCACCGAGGAAGGGCAGGACAGCGTCTCGGTGGGTGAGCTCCCTACGGCAGGCGGCCAGCCGAGTGTGGGGCTCGCGCTCGAGAGAGAAGAGCAGAGCACAGTGGCTCGCAGCAAGAGTGCGTTGTGCCTCGTCAGTGCGGAAGAGAAGCCTGTGTCCACGCACACAGCTCACAGAGCAAACGCGGACCCGGAGGCAGAGACGGTGGGGGATGGGCCCTCCGCAGGTTTGAGGAGCAGTGGCAGCTCGCCCCCGGGGCCCCGCGGGCCCGAGCAGGTGCCCGGGGACGAAGGCCCCTGCGTCAGTGCCGGCTGTGAGACAGCAGCGAGTCCTGGTGCTAAGAAAGGTGTCGGCTCCCCGTGTTTGGGAGGCTCCGAGAGGCGGTCCTCGCCTCCCCCCGACCCGCGGGGCTCCCAGGGCAGCCTGGACACCACCGCGTCCGAATGTGGCCACCAAAAAGCTGAAACTGCTCCTGCCCACACCGTGGCCCCTCCAGCTGCCTGCGGCGTAGCTCTGCCGGCGCCCAGCCGTGGGCAGGACCGGGCTGTAACGGGCGACCGTGGCTGCGGGCAGCCTGCTCCTGCCTGCTCGGAGACCACCGGAGGCGGCGCCACACCACCATCCCCGAAGGAAGGCGGCCTCGGGACCCGCATTTCTTCTGAAGAACGTGTGTGTGGCACAGGTGAGACCAAGTGGGAATAGCTGCTTTCCCGTGACTAGAGCACCTGTGATGAGCCCGCCGGCAGGTCGTGAGGGGGACAGGCACTGCCGCGTGCTTGGCGGTGAAGACAGGCAGCACTGAGGGCAGGAAGTCACGGTCTCCTGCCGTGGGCTGCAGTTACCTGTCCTCCGGGCGCTTGGTGGTCAGAATGAGAGTTGCTTTACAGCACCATGAAAAGTGGGGTCTTGTCACCCTCCTTTTACAAGTGAGGAAACAGAGGTTTAGGTAACAAGCACGGTCCTTGGGTGCCTCTTAGAAAAGTGACTGCCACGCCTCAGCCTTGCGTGGAGTGAGGCTGACAGCAGCCAGACACCGTCAGCACCCTCGTCTGCCTTCACAGACGTGACAGGTCCGTGCAGGGGCCTCTTCTCATCAGAAAGCGTTTTTACTACTCTTTGTGCTTTAGAATTTTTTTGAAAGAGAAAAGAAACACGCTCTCCCCAACAGATTCCAGAGAGAGCCCATCATGTTAGCAAGGGTCGGCCGTCTTCAGGTGCACGCTTCGAGCCGTCTCAGCACGCCGTCCCCCTCGGACGCTGGGCGCTGGGCCCACTGTGCCCAGCCACGGTGGTGCAGAGGTGTAGCCATAGCGACGAGGTCTGGGAGCGTGAGCAGGCGGGGGCCGGCCCACCGCAGGAGGTGCCCCGTGGGCGGCGGGGGCCTGGGCTGCCGGGCAGAGTGAGCAGTGACAGTGGCGACTCGCGGTGCCTGCCGGAGAACACGAGGGCTCGGCGCCGACCTGGCTGTAAGGTGTAGTGTCCGAGTGTCCCCAGGGACAGGCCTTGGTATCAGCCAGCTTGTTGGTTCTGGTGTTGTAGGGACTTAGCAAACAGAATGTTCCAGGGTTGAGGAAAGCTAGACAGTTCCCTTGAGTTTGACCGGGGGTAGGTGAGTGCTCTGGCAGATGCTGTGATTCAGCGTTGCTGCGGTCTGCTACCTCTGCCCCCTGGATTTCCTGTGAAGGAGCAAAAATGGAAGGGCTTTTACCGAGAAAAAAACCTGCAGCCTCACGGAGAGGGGAGGGCTTTTCCTCAGAGGTGTGTGTGGGGAGGGGGGAAGGGGGAGAGGTAGGCGAAGCCACACGTGACAGATGGCAAGAGGTCCAGATGGACAGAAATGAGTCTCCCCTGGAGAAAATTCCCTTTTCTTTTTGGCTATTTCATGTTTCTTCTGTTCGGTTCTGTTGCTGTTTTGCTGTGTCAGGGCAGAGCAGGTAGAGTGAGGCTGTTCGCAGTTTGCCTTTGCTGAGACTGCCGCAGTGTCTCGTGGGGACAGTGTTGATGCAGATCACTAGCAAAAATCCTTAGAAATAAATAACATGTGCCCACACACACAACTAATACTTGGTCATTCTTTCTGGGCAACCGTATTAACAGCAAGAAACAGCCACCTATGAGGCGCCAAAAAAGCGAGGCAAGGGCCCCGCCTCCATTTTATCGTTTCCTACTAGTGGCGGAATAAAGCCAGGGAGGAAGGGGGTGTGGTGCTGGGTGACAACGTGTGTCACCTTTCGGTGGCTTCCATCTCCTTAGGCAACGAAGAGTCTGCGTTGAATGTTCCGGGAGGACTGGAACCAGACCCTGACTGGAAGACTGAGGTATGGCTGGTGGCTCCTCCTGAGCTGTGCGTGTGGGAGAGCTGTAGCAGCACGTCCCGGCGGAGCTGGCGCTGGGCAGGGCGCTGCGGGGCTGTCTCTCCCGGCCCTGTGGGGAGGAAGCTAGGCGCCTCGGTCGTCTCCGGAAATTCCACTTACCAGTTCCGTTTTCTCAAACCACAAACCGGGGGTCACCCTCAGCTTCTCCCTGTCACCCGCGCTTAATCCACCGCCAAGTCGTAGTGTCCCCGAGCAGCTGGCCTGACCCCATCTCTGCTGCGTCTGTAGACATCACCAGGGTCTCCCCCGCTGCTTCTGTAGCCACCCCCTTGACTTGCTCAGCCCAGATGACCTCTGAAAACTAAACGTAGGGCGTCTCACTGTCTGGTACACTCAAGTGAGTCTCCCTGCCCGCGTTCCAGCCTGAGCTCATGGCACGGAGCGGCACATGTGACCCTACAGCCACGGGCAGAGAAGGCGTGGCCGCCTGGTGGGGAGTAGGGGTGGCAGGCGGCAGGGCTGACAAGACCTTAGAGCAGTTTCACGACTGAGTAGAAATGTGCTCAGGGAGAAAGAAAAGCTTTTCTCCCAGGCAGAGAAGCGCATTCTGGCTCGCGGGAAGGCCGGTGCTGAGCCCAGGCGCTGCCATGGTCCGGGCTGACTGGGGAGTTGGCCTGCGGTTAGGAAGGGCCACGTGTGGGGCTGTAAGCTGCATTCTGCCTAAAAGCGGTCAGCGCCCTCACAGGGTGAGACGAGGTTACATTGCTCTCTCATACGTTTCGGCTGTAAAGAAAGACGTATTTTCCCTTTTAAATTGTGCAGACTTTATTTAGAGTAGACTAACGTCCTCACAAGGTGCAGCGAATTTGTGTGTCTTGACTTGGGGTTCGTCCTGCATTCTTGCTGACTTACATTTCACGGCACTTTGGATTTTCCAGATGCTTGTGTCATCAGGAAAAGAGCAAAGTCGTGCAACCCCCGCCCCCCCAGGAAACCCGGCCGGGCGCCCGCCGCGTGGAGGAGGTAAGCGCCCCTCACTGACACCCCCAGCCGGCCCCCAGCAAACACAGGCGTGTTCTGTGGACTCGCCACTCACTTCTCTAAATGAGTTCAGTTTCTTCAGTGTTTCCGCATACACCATTTCCCACGAGGTATGAATTCTACTTAACATAATACCTTAAGTCTGACAGCGCCATGTAACTGCCAGGAGGAGGCTGCTGTGGAGGCAGCTCTCGCCCTCCCCAGGGCGAGCCAGGGCAAGGGGCTGTGCCTCTCGGCAAAGGCGAGTCAGCGGCCACTCGCCCCTGCTCCTCACCCTACTCAGCTCTCCCCCAGCTTCTGGGCCGCTTCCCTGCTGAGCAGCTGACTGCACCATCCTGCTCTGTGCAGTTTCTGGGGCCGCACGGCAGCGTCCACACGACAGCGCTCGAGCCCTCTGGTCTCAGGGCCACTTGCACAGTTAAAAATTACAAGGGATTTTGTCATCAGATTATAAGCCTGTTGACATTTATCCAATAAGACAAAAAAACTGAGAAGGTTTTAAAATGTGTTATCTTAGTATAGTTAACAAATTCTACACCAACATAAATAATTTTTATGGGGGAAAAAAAACTAGATTTTCCAGAACAACAAGATACAGTAAGAAAAGTGACTGATGTACATTTTTGCAAATTTAAGTCTAGCTTAATAGAAAATGGCTGGTTTCTCTCGCCTGTGTCTGTTCAGCTCGTTGCTGTTGTTGTCTCGGTTGGAATATATTGCACTTACGCAGCTAAGTAGACACGCCGGATCATTGTGGGAAGTGCCTCGGTCACTCCTAACTTAAAGCTGAACGTCTCTTTGAGTTAGTAGGGCAGTAAGGCCGGCCCCTGCGGGAGGTTGTGGGAGTCCTTGGCCATACTTTGAGAACCACCGTGTTAAGGAAGTGGAAGTGGAAACTGTGGCAACGGAGAATTACCAAAAATCCAAATACTTGGTCATATTAACTAGGAGAAAGTAATAGGGAGTTTAGAGTATGTGACTGTTGGTAATGTGGAAGTGCCCAGATGAGCCAAATGGAGGAGTCAGGGTAGTTTGGGTCACAGGTGACAGAAACCCTCCTGCTGGCTTAACAAACGCTCATTTCTCATGGCTGAGGAAGATGGACGTGTGTTCAGACTGCTGGCCAGGTCAGTCTCCGGGCGATGGCCCCGGCCTTCCTCCGTGTGCTGTGCCCACGTCTCTCCTGTCAGAACGCCAGCCACAGGAGCTGCCGCCTCTGGGCCTCATCCAGTCTGACCCCTTCCAGAGGTCCCGCTCCAGGCAGTCGGGCTGGGGTAGGGTGTCAGTGCACCAAGGGGGGCGTGAATGTCCAATCCGCAACACCTGCGGAACTGAAACGTAAAGGCGAAGCGCGTGTGAGGCGCTGTCTCCAAAGACACATCTTGCAAGGCCCAATTTCTTGCATTCCTGAGCCTCCGCCCTCCCCAGAAGCAGCTGCTTTCTCATTCACCACCTCTGTCTGAGAAACTCACTTTCTCCTGTCACTCCTGGCTGCAGGCCTGACACTAGCTAGGATTTAGCTTTGCCCTCCGGCCCCCTAAACTCACTGCTCTGGCCAGATGGCGTGAGGTGCCGCTTGACTCAGTGACTGTCGTGCCCTTGTGGCAGAACTGGGCCCCTGGGCCTGGACTGGGCCTGGAGCACGGTCTGGCCCCAGGAGGGGCTCGCAGAGCGCTGGCAGCTGTGTCCCAGGCTCGGGAAGGTGGCGCTCCAACGCTGGTCCCACCTGCCCGGTGTGCGCGGGCGCGGGGCGCAGATGAGAGCGTTGCTGTGGGTAACGAGGTGCTCGTGTCTGGGGACAGCATGCTGGCTCAGACCTTGGGAAGGCCGCAGCTACGCCGACCCAGCCTCTCTCCTTTGCTTAGAGAAAGTAAGCTAGCAGACACGCCCAGCTCAGTGGCCCGTCCTCCCGGCTTACGTGTCACTCTTTCTTGGCGCCACGTTATGAGGCGTCCTTGGGTGTGCACAGACAGACCTCATGTTGTGGGACTGAAAGTGACCTGTACACACTTTCCCACATGCTGGGCCTCAACAGTTTGCACTGTTGCAAGTAGTTTGAATGAATTTCCATGTGCCGGTAACTGGTACCCAAGTAGTTCCCTGAAATGGGCTGGGTGGTCAGAGCAGGTCTGTTTTGGGGTTTGATAAGCACTCTTCATCCCCCCTACTTTGGAGCCAGATGCTGGAGGCTCGTGGTGCCAGTGCGTAGAGAGGCAGAGAGGCAGTGGGGGGGCCACCGGGACTCTGGAGTGGAACGTGTAGATCCCCACCCTGGACTCTGGCCACTCGGGACAAGACCTTCCCGGGCACGACCATCGGAAGGGCGCCACCCTGTGTCTGAGCCAAGAGCCTCGCAGCAGGCGGACCGGCGAGAGCCAAGGCCTGGAGCTGTTTGTGCCGACTTGTGAAAAACTGTCCAAAACTCGGACAGATGCGTCTGTTGATATCGTGCATGCACGTTACAGCACAAGGCATTAGCGTCCCGTTGGTTAACTGGCAGAAGCTAGCATCTTTGGGTTCTGAAGTCCTCGCTTCCCTCAGCTACGTCTCAGGTCCCTGAGTTTAGGTACAGTTCACGAAGAGATCTACTTACGCAAAGGGAAGTTGTTTAAAAGAACAATGTGAGTTCTGTCACTGTCGAGTACAAACAGTAGGCCTTGCCCTTCGGGTCTCCAAGGAACGTAAATGGACTTCGCTGTTGGCGGGACAGTCCGACGTTTCACTCGGTGGCTTTGCTTTCTAACGAGCCGGTGGCACGGAGCGTCACCCAGCCACACCCGCCGCCTTGTTGCTGAGCGGAGGTCACCGGCAGAGTCGCATCGGGGCTGAGGGAGGCACGGTCCGTTCTGCGAAGCAGCAGGCATTAAGTAGTTAAAAAATAAGGGGTCAGAATTTTGAAAATCACCGAAGCTGCCAGGCCACTGGCCACACGGTGCTACCTCACCACCCCGCTGCTCTGCGGTCAGGGTCATACTCCTTGTTCCCCGTTTTGTCTCCGAACAGCTGACCTGCCGAGAGCGTCTCCGTCGGGGGATGACTCACTGGACGTAAGTCACGGGCGTGCTTCGGGCCGTTGGGATCTGGCCGCGCGTTTGTTGGGGTGTGTGAGGGGAATGGGAGGCGCCCCCAATGGAGAGGGCTGCCCACACTTCCGTGGGCAGGAGGCGTTTGTAGCGTGCCTCGCAAGTTCACATAGGTGCATTCACCTGACTCCACTTATGTCAGGAAATTCAGCACTTTTTCCCGGGAAGCAGTCACCCCGCGCGCAGCAGCGCTGCCTCTTGCTCCAGGCCAAGGTCCTGAGACAGCTAAGGAAGTCGGCGGCGGCAGGCCCAGAGGCGTAGGACATGCCGGGGAAATGCAAACTTGGCACCTTGGATTCATAGTTACGATTATGGGTTGCTGGTGGGGTGGTGGTGTCTTCAGTGATTGAATTCCGTGTGAGTAAAAGTTCACATTGTTTTCAGGAAGCTTTTCTGCAGATACGAAACTATAATCACCCTGAATGCCTATTTACCCCTTCTGTGGTTCTCATAACTCCTTCTCTCCAAGAGAGAAACCTTTGTTCCTTCTGCATAAAGGGTCTGATACCCTGAGAGTATAAGCCTTTATGGGATGCTCACAAATAACGGGCCACCACCTTTCCAGGGCTCCTAGAAGACCCCAGCGATTCTTGTCTGCTCTCAGACACCCCAGCACCAGAGTCTCTCTCATCTCCTTGCAGTAGCCCTTCCTGTAGCTAGAGGCTCAGACATGCCTGCTGAGGGAGACAGTGGAGAAGCGCCCCACATGGCGTGGTACCCCTAAGAAGTCACCGCTGCTCCGTGTGACTGAGGCCTGCAGAGCCCGACGCGCGGGTGGCTGCCTTGCTCCGTCCCAGCGCCGGCCCTGCCGACACGCCCGGCTGAGACTCACCCTCTGTCCAAAACACACCCTCTCTCCCTGGTGGCGGCACGAGGAAGCTGTCTGCAGCCTCTGCAGCACGTGTTCACTTCCCAGCCAGGGAGGGACCCCATGGCGCAGCAGGCCTCTCCTGTCTCCCCACTGCTCCCCTCAGCAGTGGACTTCTTTACTCTGTCGTTTCTGCTCCCCACTCTCTCTCTGGTGGATCTGCTCACACCGACCCCCACACCCCTGGTCTATACCCCCAGCTCTTGTATGCAGAAATTAAAAAAAAAAATGTTAAAAATAAGGAAATAAAAAACAAGGGACAGCGGACAAGATTTGTCACAGGAAATCTTACATCAGAATAATGGACTCCATTAGCATTTTTATGTAAAAATGGAACGTGTCCGGGTAGGAAAGGAACTCACAACTCAGAAAATTTTCGCGCTTATTTCTTACTCTCGCCATAACATTAAAGACCGGGAGAAGAGACAGTGTCCTGATAACTTGCAAAACAGAAGCCCACAGAGCGCTGCCTTTCACTAGCCTGAGTGAAATGCAGAGGCACGCGTACCCCAGTTCCACCATTCTCTCGAGCGGCTCAGTACCTAACTCACCTTCTTTGCCTTTTTCCACTTTTAAGATTTTTGTGAAATTTTCCACAAACACCCTCTTCTTTTGTATGTATAGGTTGAAATTTCAGGCTCAAGATCAAGTGCAGAGAGTGATAGCAAAGCTTCTAACAAAGAAGGTGAGTTCATGAGTTTCCTAGTCGTAATTTCAGTGTGATTTGCGGTCGCCGCTTGCTGACTGCCTGCTGCGCGCCCGCCCGTGCCGGCGGTCTCTCGTGCCGCCCGCTGCAGTCAGGGAACGTCAGCCGCGCGTGCACTCCACAGGAGCGCCGTGTGCCGGGCTGTCTCGGCCCTCCTGGCGCCTTCCGCATTGTGTTCTGAGATTTGGTCAGACGTGCAGCAGCCTCGTTACTTTCCCTCGCTCATCGTTTACTTCCGCAGTGCGTGAGTCCACCGAGGTTATCGCAGTTCACGTCCTGTTGGACACTCGGTTTCTCACAGCCACGGCGCGCCTGTCTCCACTACGTCCAGCGCCCTGTCACCCGCAATGGAATTGCCCGCGTGAGGGGACTCGGCTTGGCTGAGTGCGCCAGGTTGACCCCAGCTGGCATAGTGGGGCCGCAGTTGGCATCCTCAGTCAGGCTGGCTGGCCCCGAGGCCCAGCCGGCACCCTGTTCTCCTTGCGGTCCCCGAGTGGCCGGTGGGTCAGACGCTGCCTGTGACACCCAACGGCCAGCGCCCGCCTGGAGCCTCCGTCTGAGGGGCTGTCGAGGCCCACCTGGCGGCCCGCCAGCCACCGAGTCCCGTCCCTCCCTCCTTCCCTGCCCCAGCACACACGGCCCTGGAACTGTCTTGAAGAAGGACGTGCACATGGTGGGTTTTCCTTTTTGTATTTGTTACTCAGAGGTCTCCGATGGCAGAAAGGACCACACAGAGGCCGTCAGGGACCGTAGCGTTGAAGTGAATCGTAAAGAGGTGGGTTTTCCTAAGAAACTCAACTGCATCCTGTTCTGTGCATTGTGCTTTTTGCCAGTGCACACAGAAAGGCGGGACTTGAAAATTCACGGGCTGTGTTGAGAGGTCACAACCCTGCTGCCCCTGCGCTTGACGTGCCCGGGTAGTGGGGCAGGGCCAGCAGCCTCTGCCGAGCGCTGCCCTGCAGGGCGGGTGCCCCCTGCCTTCTCTCGCTGGGCACAGGCCCGCCGGTCACTCAGCTCGCGCCCTCTCTGACGTGCTGCCATTCAGAGACAGACACGCGAGCAGTGTTCTTCCTAGAGTCCTTTAGCGCCATTGAAATGGAGTATAACGACAAGCAGATCGAAGATTCTGTATGGGTTTGTCAAAAAATGCCAAAAGAAGTATTCTAGATTCTTAAAAAACCTAGAATAGCAAGAAGCTAGTGTAGTTTGCCCTCTTGCGGGGGATTTGGATCCAAATTCTGTTGCCTTTAATGTAGACATTCTTGCTTCCAGGTTGAGGCGGAAGAAAAGTACACGCCCAGGAGGAAGAGAAAGAAGCCTTGCCCCTCTTCGGAAGATGAGCCGGGTATTCCCAGCGTGCATGCTTCTGTCTCACACCCCTTTGAAAATCATGTTGTTGTAGTATCCCAGGTGGTGGGCCAGAGACTAGGGCCTACTCGAGGAGATGGTAACTTTATTTCACACCTCGTGAGGCCAGTTTATTTCCAGACTGTCGTGACTCCTCCAGGGCATTCCCTGGGCCTGCTCTAGACCGGGTAGCTCCTTGTGGACGTCCTAGCCCTGTCCCTGGACTCCGGGCCCAGCCACTGCTGCAGGGCTCCTTAAACGTGTCCCCAGGGAGGGACGCACTTTGGTCGAGGTGTGGACAGTAGCCCCGTGATTTTCTGCCTGTTCCAGCACCCCCAGGAGAGCATCCTGCACTGACAGGCGTTCTCTGTCTGTCTGTCTGCGGCAGTCGCTGCCAACAGCGTGTGGCATGGAGCTCTCGATGTGGTCGGTGGGAAGGAGAGTCCCCTTTTAGTTGTGGTCAGCTCTGGCTTCTGCTGCCACATGGGCCAGTGCAGAAGCTTTGGTTCTTTAAAGCCTGACACACAGCGCACATCCAGTGAACGCCCAGAGACAAGAGTGGGAAAGAACCGCAGATGCTCTCCTTTTTTGGTTAGGAGCACGTAGCGTCTTTAAGTCCTGGGTTCTCACTCTGACCGGGTACCATCTCCGGTACTCTCTGTACATTCACAATAAGGTGCAGGCTAGGCATTTTATAAACAAGGGAAGATCGTGTAGATCCACTTCCAGCGTAAGCCTGACGCAGCCCGCGGTCGTGAGGCCCGAGGCCTGTGCCTCAGGAGCTCCGGATCTGGAGCCCGGTAAGCCTGCTGCGCTGCTGGCATCTGCTGAGCATTTGTGGAATTTTTTAATTTATCCATTTCTTTGGCTTTTTCGGGGCCAAGGCCACGTCCAGGGCTCCGTGGACATGGCCTTGCCAGCACCTTCGAGTAACTCGGCTTCCAGTAGCACAGGTCTAAGAAAGGATCTTGAACTGTCCTCGGATAGAACTTGCATTTCGTTGTGCTTCTATTCCTTTGTGATTCTGTCCAAACCGATTTCCAGATGATAACGCGGATGCCCTGGAGTCCAAAACAGAAACAGCACAGAGGCAGAGTTCCGGAACGGAGCTGCAAGACGCGAAGGTACTTTTCTGCCGGCTAACCTAGGTTTGGGGTAACCTCTGTACGTCACTGGGAAAACGTCACCGTGAGTTTTTCTCAACTCTAACACGAAGCACTTTATTATAACAAAAGGTTTGTTTGGACTCCCTCAAAAACATAAATGTTGCACTTTACAATCTTTTTTTTTTTTTTAATTTATTTATTTGTGCATACAGAACTGGGGTACAGGCCAGAGGTGCAGGGGCGGTGAGAGGCTTCACCAGAGACAGAGTGGGGAACAGAACAGGCAGATCGCCGAAGTACACTGCTGAGGGGAGCAGCGGGCGGGCCAGGAGAGGTCTGCCGCGCCATGTGGTCACCTCCGGGGCAGGCGGGAATCGAACTCATGCGGAAGCGGCTTTAGATTCTCAGTGCTGCGCTTTAACCCGCTGCGCCACCAGGGAGGGCCGCACTTTGCAATCTTAACCTGCACGCCGGTATTATCGGAATTGAGATAAAATCGTTGCTTAGTTTTTGCCCAGTTGTGTGACTGATTTCTTGGCTGCTAGGCGGGTAGGTGCTCTTCCCACAGCCTGTTGCACAGTCCTGCTGCCCGACATTGAAAGGCAGCGACAGATGTCACTGGGAAGTGCTACCACTTGGCTTTTCCTTTGCCCGCTCCCTCCCGCCCGCACTGAGGGGGGCTCAGGGCTGCCCTCTGCGCCTTGTCCAGTGCTCATACTCCTCTTCCAACGCAGGAACATGGCGCACCCGTCTGGATTTCCGTCCTTGCCCCGAGGCCCAGAGGTCCCCATTCCCAGAGGTCCCTCTTCCCAGTGTTCTCCATTTCGGACTCTCAGCTTCTCGCTGCCTATTCCAAACCAGCCCCACTGCCTTGCCTCCTCTTTCCCTAATTTGTCTTTTCTTGTCTTGCTCCATAAGTACCTCAGTCAGCTTATAAAAATAGATGCAGCTCACTAAAATCAATTCAGGCACCCTTTTGTTTCCAGTAATTGATAAAATAAATAAAAAGTAGTAGAAAAGCCTGAACAGCTTAGGACAGGAAGACCTATATCCTTGTGAATTCAGTTCATCACAAGGTTATGAAACTGGCTTTTAATCCCCCCACTGCGCACACCCAGTCCAGAGCAAGAATCGAGGTCGCTCTGATGTGGAGAGGAGCAGGTTGGGCTCTTTGTTTCCCCTCAATTTCATCTAAGTTGCTTAAGTAAATGTTTTAAGTTAGATTTAAGTAAAATCGTGTTCATGCACAGATATTTTCAGTATCATAAACCTTTCATTTTATGTTCAGCTTCTGTACGTTTACATTATATGACTCTAATAACCATTTCGACTATTTTATATTCAAAACTTGCAAGTGAGGGTGAGAGAGTCGGAGCATTGAGCAGAATTCTCAGCTTCTTCCACTTTATCCCTCTCCCTGCTCCCTCCCGCCACCGCCCAACTACAGCAAAAAATCTGTTTTAAGTTCCTGTCAGTTCTTGTCTAGGGAGTTTCTCTGAAAAAGACAAACTTCCAGGATGAGGGAGGAAGAAAGCGATTCCCACTTTGCAGGGGAAATACAGTGGCCTTGTAGCTTTATCCCCAGCCTTGTGTCACGCGTTCCCACGGGTGTCTTTTTGTAGACGCAGTAGCAGCGGGCATGTTACTGTGATAACTTTCTTTTAGGGATGAAGGGAGACACTGGGAGGGAGTGGCGGCAAGAGCGGGTTGAAGAAGGAAGCGTCTTGTCTTGTTCATCTTCTCCACAGGAAGGAAACCCTGGCGATTTGGAAGAGTTATCTAAATCAAGTTCTAAGAAAAACAGCACAGGCTGCAGAGCCATGGAAGAAAGAGGTGAGCTGCGCCTCCCGCCCCTGGGGCGGGGGCTGGGCCCCGGGCGCCGGAGCTGCCTGACCGGACACGACACGCGCTGCTCACACGCCTTCAGCAGGCAGCGGGCTCGTGCTGAATGGCTCTGGTCGTTTTCACGCCAGTCCCGGTCCCCTCCAAGTGGGCTGGTGCCCAGGCCTGGCGATGGAGGGCGCCTGTGACGCGAGCGTGTGCCCTCGGCAGCCGTGCCCGGAGGGCGCCCGAGGCCGGCCCTGGCCCCCGTAGTGAACTGAGCCCTGCCCTCTGTGCAGATGAATCTAGCAGCAGTGAAGCTACTGGCGAAAAGACAGAGCCCAATGAAGATGACAACGTAAAGTCCCAGGAGGTGAGGAATGCCTTTGGATTTATCTGTTTAGATTTATTTAAGCACCAAAATCAAAATGTGTCGTGCTCTTACCTGGTTTTTCTCAAGGACTTCTATTCTGGTACAGCACAGCACCATTTCCCACGGTGTGATTTATCAGTGTCATTTTGATAACATCATGGTTTCACCCAAACATTTTTATGAGACCTACTTACGTCTGGCCAGGTGGGTGAGCCCGGAGCTGTTGCTTGGGTTATATCAGGTGCTCCTCTGACAGCTTAGTACAGCCAAGCTTGGCAATATTTCCAGCAAGAGAGGGAAAGCAGGCTGACTGTAGCTTCTGGGCAAGAATGGGATCTAGAAGGCCTGCGATGAGTGCGGAATGGGGCCCAGCTCCTGAAGCCAGGTCAGGGACTTCAGGAGTAGGCTGGCCCACAGCCCCACCACTTCAGGCCACTGTGAATTTGCAGAGACCCAGAGGGGCACTGAATCACAGAGGTGGACGCCAGGCCACCAGCCGGTCTTGCAGATAACTACAGCCAAGAGAGCTGCTCGTGACATCATCCACCTCAGTGGTTCTTTTCGTTTTCTCATAGCTGTAGAAGACAAATTTAGTGGCCTTTTGAAATAAAGAATAAATAACATTTGGTCACAAGGGACTTCGACTAAATCCAAATGTAAATAAACAGACACTCGTATTTATTATAAAATTAAAAACTAACACCCAGTAAGCACTTGTGGTTCATTGTCGTCTGACTTCCTCTACACTGCACGGCTCCCAGGCCCGAGCCCCTACTTGTCAGGCTACGGAACTGCCCCAAGCTCAGCCTGAGGTCACATGATGTTCTTAAGTGATGAAACTGGGATTTGAGGCTTCTTAGGGGACTCTAAATCTCATTTGAGCAATGAACTCTTTGTATAATAGAGGCTCCAATGATTTTTTATGGCTGTTTGCCCCCCTTTAACCCCCTTAGGAAGATCAGCCAGTGATCGTTAAAAGGAAAAGAGGGAGACCTCGTAAATACCCCGTAGAGGCACCACCAAAAGCAAGTATGTATTTGGTGGGTTTCTGTTGACATACAGGAAATTCTCAGTATCATTTTCTAAATGGGCTTTATTTTTGCATTTTCTAGAAGAAGAATGCAGAGCAGACTCGGGCCTTGTCGCAGTAAGTGGTCGCAGTGGGGGCCCTTCGGGTGCTGGCGCTTGCCTGGAAGGTCATTCTGCAAGACCTGGCGCTGCAAAGAACGTCTTGTGTTTGAAGTATTTGAGAAGCTGGTTAAGAAACTGTTAAATCAACACCAAATGACCATGCCAGAAACACTTTGCTCACTAATACTTTCATGCACACGTACATACATTCATCCTTCCTCAGTCGGAGTCCGTCCTCCTTAGGAACGGACTTCCGTAAGAATTGTCCGGGGGTGACCCTTGACCTTAGCTGTACATGACTTCCCTGTGGTGACCGGAAAGCTCCAGTGTGTGTCACCGTGTTAACTATTTTTCATGCAGCTCCTTTTGTAACAAAATGTATATTGATTTCAATGCAGGAAAATCCTCAGTGAAACTTCAACTTTTCAAACGTACAGTTTTTACTGTCAAGCATACACACAATAAAATCAGCCTCAGGGTTTCATTGCTTGGCGTTAGTGTTGGGAGGGTGAGCGCGCCGGCAGGTCCCATGTGCCTGGCCTAATCAAAGCAGACGGCTCCGAGCCTCTTGCGCCTTTTACGCCCAGCTCTGTGGCTTGGCCGGTCAGGCCTCCCTCCTGACCTGTCTCCTTGGCTGTAAAGCGCTGTGATCATGCCTGCAAACATCAGCGCAGAGAATTAGTCAAAACCACAAAACCAGGAGCCAGTATGAACACATTTCCTGACATGTGAGAGGGTTTGGGGGGACGGGGAGTACCAGCCGTCAACCCCACCACGTCTCTGGCCATAGCAGGATGTGGGGAGAGGCCCGAGGCAGCCCTGGCTCTGCTGAAGCAGTGCCGTGTCGAGAAGTGTGGGGACCACACCCGCTTGCGACGCTCAGCTGCAGAAAAGCTTCTCATGCATCTGCCTCATGACAGAAATCCTCACCCTGACTTCCCTGTGACGTGACAAACTGCTGACTTCAAGTCTGTGTTTGTTTCACTTTAGGTCGAACAGTCTCCACCTGGCAGCAGACTGAAAGGCATCCCAGCAGGTACGTGCGTTCCTCATTGCTCCTCATTGTTTGGGTGACTTGAGGGGAAGGTTCCAGTGTCTCATTGTTTCTCGATCGGGGCTGGCCTCCTTGGTTGGGCAGCAACCCAGCGCCAGGGGCGCTCTGGGGCCGGGGTGCAGGCCTTTCCTGTGTGTGAGCTATCCCGGTTCTGGGCCTGGCCCCCAGACACGAGGGCAAAGGCAGTGCAAAGCCTTCCAGCGAAGACCCTTGCTCGTCCAGACCATAACTCGCAGAAACAGGTCAGCCTGGGCCTGGCACTCTTAGCAGGAGGCAGGACTTAGCTCAAGAACCTTTTGTTCTTAGGCAGAGAAAGATTTTTAAAGCAGCCTGTGCAGCTCACAGAGCCAGGATGAGCAACATAAAATTGTTTCAACTATTTTTGTCCTCATTCCAGGGGTAAAATATTTACTTCGAAATGCTGATAATGATTAGCTCTGGGTTAGTGGGGTGATGAGAACATTCCACATTATTTGTTACTGTTGCCTGAATTTTCCAGAACTTTTCAACCATGAATTTCATGGTTGAAAATCGCTAACATAAATGCATGGAGAGCCATTGGCGGGTTTAAAGAGTTGGCACAAGCAGAAAAAATGATGTGACAGCTCTTAGCTAAAGGTCAGGAGAGGATGGGTTCTGGTTAGCCAGGGTCAAGCAAACATGCCATTCTAAAGTTTGTCAGCACTCCGCGATATGTGTGTGTGATCCTACTTAACGTGTCTTGTCTCGGAAAATTACAGTTTATTTTTAAACAGGAGTTTGTGTGTGTTTGGTTTTTAACTAGGTTTTATTCTCAGTGTGATATTTTAAATCCAGACAATGCCCATAACTCGAATGCCCTTGAAAGACTCATCTAAGGATCCTGATTTGGTTATGACTTGGTCTGGTTTTCTGAAAATGGGTGACGAGGGCCAGTTTCAGGCAGGGTTCTCTCCAGGGCCCTTTTTCTTGGTTTTCGTCTTCCATCCACCTTAGTGTATTGAATTGGCTGAAAAGGGCAATCACTGCAGTCTCATCGGCAAGCAGCCTTTGGGCCGCTGGGGGCTGGCAGGCAACACTAAGGTCTCGGGAAGGGGTAACGCCCGCGGCGGTGGGCGTGCATGGCCTTGGGCTGGCAGGGGCACTTTGGTACTTGCCACGGTGCCTTTGGGGCCAGAGAGCCCAGCGCTGCTCCTCCCACCCCGCTAGTTCAGTGACTGTCGAAATGACTGAAGTGACTTAGAACAGCCTCGCTGTCCTGTCTGTGAGGCAGACCCACCTGTCTGTCTGTTCATCGCACAGTGGAAGTGTTAATGCAGAGATTTCCTCCTTCTTAGACGAGTCCAGTAAAGAAACAGCTAACCAGCAAGAAAGAGGTCTCGGCAACGTGAGTGCTCATTTCTGTCCGTGGGTGTCCTTTGCGGTCAGCGCGGGGGGTGCCCCACCAACTGCCCCTTCCACTTTGATTTCCGCACTTGCAGGACGACGGCGAAGAGAAAGCGGTGGCGAGTGTGCGGCGGAGAGGGAGGAAGCCCAAGCGCTCGCTCACATCCTCGGATGACGCGGGTGGGTGCCTGGCGGATCCTTAGCCACAGAGTCCGTTTGGCTCAAAATCGCCTTTTTAAGTTTTACTTTGAGGAAAAACCGAGCGGGGTGCAGCTAGCACTGGCATTGCATAAATACGTGTGAAATGTCTCTAATCCCGTGTCAGGAGTGGTACATCCCAGATGCTTTTCTCAGTCCATGAGAATTTGTCCCAGATGCTGGCTGTGAACGGCCTAAGTAAACTATCCAAATGTGTTTGAGATTAAGTTAAACAGTTGTGAATCGCGAGTGCCGAAACAGAAAGGAAATGGAAAACCACTTCTGCCTCGCAGCACCGAGGGTCCTGCATTCGCAGCGCTGTGACCCTGCCCTTCGGGAGGCTCGTGGCGTTTGCATGATCCAGGTGTTCCCTCCTGTCCGGACAGAGTCCTCAGAGCCAGAGAGGAAACGCCAGAAATCCATCTCTGAAGCGACTGAGGACAAGAAAGACCAGGAGTCTGAGGAGGAAGAGGAGGAGGAGGAGGAGGAGGAGCCCCTGGGCGCCACCACGAGGTCCAGCACCAGGTCGGAGGCCCAGAGGTAAGTGGTGCCGGGAGCGCACAGCGCAGGTGATGGGCCGCCTCAGGCCGCGTCTCGGTCGCCTCTTGCCGGGAGGAGGCTCCCGCCCCAGGCACTGGGGAGTCCTAGCTGAAACCAGTCTTGAGGACCAGGTTCCTGGCGCCTGCCTGGGGGACACGTCTGTTTTTCAAGTGCAGCCGCCCCCGTGAGGTGCGTGTCCCCGGGCCGGCAGTGGCCGAGGCTCGGCTCAGGCGTCGGGGCTGCACCGTGCTGAGCGTGCGAAGTGCCCTGCGCCGGCGGCTCTCACTGGACAGAACCGATGGTCTCGTTCCCCAGAGTGTTTGTTTCCCCCAGGCTCCAGGGCAGCCGGAAGCCTGGGGCCAAGCGCCGTGGCAGTGAGTTTCGGGAAGGCCAGTGATCCTCTCCGCCCCTCCTGTGTCACTTCAACGTTGCCTCGCCCGGGGCAAGAGACCCGTGTAGCTTCGCCTTGGCTGCCTCCTCCCGGGCCCTCAGTTACGCCTGTGACCCGCAGCGTCCCTCCCGCAGCGGGAGTTGAGGCTGCTCTGTCACTTTACAGCTTAGTACTTCGCATAAAGCGGTGTTTTCCATTTTTAATGTGATTACAAACCGCTCAGCTTGGTATCATTTTCTATAATTTCATTATCTCACATCAAAAACGTCAGGAACATTTGTTTCACCTGTCATTGTAATACAGCAGTAAGGGTCTCATATTTACTTCCAGGTTAAAATCAGCTATTTCTGATTCCCACAAACGTGCCTGCTATTAACCATTGGTCTCAGTTTTACTATTTCCCTAAGAATCAGGTTTTAGAGCCCGAGGGCTGAAGGAAGGCAGTGGTCTCATGCTTCGGGCTTGGGTGAGGTCGTTCAGATAAACAAGTCCAGACCCGGGATCCCTGTGACTGAGAAGGTGCCGGGCCCACCCCACCCGGTTCCGAGCATCCACGCACCACCCCACCCCCCGCCTCCCTGTAAACAGCAGTGTGGAGGCCTTTCAGTACAGAAGGCCCTGCACAGGCAAAGTTCCGGGGGCCTTTTAGCCATCTTTGAGGGTCTCGAAGTAGCTGTCAGATTTGCCATTTAAAATTAATTCTTCCAAAAGACACACACTTGGCCGTGGTTCTGTGACCGCCTAAGCTGCCGGAGTCTCCCCAGCGAGCTGTGGCAGCGTTTCCTTTACAGATGCACTCTGTTCTCTGCGGGCCTTGGGGTGGGTTGGTTGGTTGGGCCCAGGCCTCTGGGGGCTTCGGAATTTCAGGCCCGTGAGTGGCAGAGCTGGAAGTCAGCAGGCGCTCTGCCCACCCGAGCCTCGGTCAGCACCCTGCGGTCCCGCTCCGGCCACTGGGCCACTGTGCCTCTGCGCACACACCAAGGGTGGGCCAGGCCGCCCTGCGGCTCCCAGGGCCCTCCTGCTCGTGCTCGGAGCTTTTCTGCCACTTGCTACCTAGCCTGTGAGGCAGGCTCCAGGTGGGCTCCTCTCCAGCCCCTCTTCTCCCCCTTCATCTCTGAGACACAGCTGTCTAGACCAGCGCAGGCCTCCACTCTGCTGGGGCTGCCCAGCCTCGCTGACCCGCCCGGCTACGGTGCACCCGCCCGGCAGTCCTTTCTCTCAAAGTTCTGCTGGGAGTCAGCTCCCCCTCGTTGCTGGCTGTGAGGCCCCCGCAGGGCTCTCGTCTCAGCTGCAGAAGTCTTCCATTTTTGAGCAACTTCCACGTCGTGAAGCCACGCCTCCCAGCTCTCAGCACCGCCCGCCTCTGTTTGCTGCAGGTCCAAGGCCCAGCTCTCCCCGCCCACCAAGCGCAGGCGAGATGCCAGTCCCCCAGGGGCACGTACCAGAGGCCAGCAGCAGCGAGTGGAGGAGGCTCCGGCCAAGAAGGCCAAGCGCTAACGAGCCGGTGCCGGACTGGTCTGGGTGCCGAGCCGAGGAGGCCGCGCCGGGCGGCCCGAGGCAGGGAGAGGATCTGCGCGCGCGCGAGCTCCCTCGGACAGCAGCTTCGTGAGCGGTGTTCGCAGAGGCCACCGTGTACGTTACTTCAGGTAAAGGCAAGTGAGTTTACTTTGTGTCTGGACTCAAAACAAAGTAGTTGTATATTTTAACACGCAAAATTGGGATTTCCCGATGTGAAACATGACTGATGCAGACCCTGGAGCGGGGACACCAGGCTGCCCCGGGAGAATAGTCTCCACACTGTAAAATAGGTTGTATTTTACTCTGTGTATGATGCTGATCAATGGACACTTTATTTATTTTACAGAGAAAGCTTATCTGTGAACTTTACTATATATCTGTTTATTTTATTTTATTATTTTTTTTAATAAAAAGGTTTTACATGCTATGCAGCAGTAGTAGAAATGTGTTAGGACCCTGCCTGCCCCGTAACTAGCGGATATGAACTGGCAGAACATACAGAACCTTCTCGCATGTGTGCAAGTAGTTTAGCGCAAGGAAGGACTCCGCCGCTCTCCGTTCACACCTTCGAGCCTGCTCGCAGCTGTGGCTTCCTCCGGCGCCCCCGCAGGTCTGGTCTGGCGGCACCGCGGCCCGCGGAGACCCGCGCTCCCCTCCCCGCTCTCCGGGCCCCACCTCGTCATTTTCAGTGTGAAGAGAAATGAATTAAAGGTTAGGTCACGCCTCGCTGTCAGGCTTCAGGACTTTAGGTTGTTTTATACACAGTTATTTCAGATAGAAACTGGCTTCACTGCCGGATTCTTTTTTAACATGTTTTAACTCCCATACGAGCAAACTGTTCAACTTAAGTTTTTCATACGATTAAACTTTTCTTAAGATCAAATTTCTCTCTAGCAATGAATGATGTGATGAGTTGCCAAAAAATCGAGATTATTTTGAAATGTTTTCTTCATATTCTTGTTTTATAATTAAAATTTACATTCAGTGTGTGTGGATTTTTTTTTTGAACTCTTTATGTAAGGTGGATATTTGTCATTTTACATGGTTTCTTACTGAGATTTTATATATAAATTATAAAATGTTTCCCAAAACTTGAGTGGTAAGAATTTTTTTTCCACATTTAAAATTTTCTCCCCGTGAAACCATTTCTTGGCCTATTGGATGTTGCATCTGGAGGGGGCGGTGGAGACCAGACAGGTCCTCATTTCCATTTAAGTGAAAGTCCAGCCAGGCCCAGAAATCTATAAGAGACTCACTTCCTTCAAGACACAGCTGGGAGGCTGCCGGCTGGAGCCTCGCTCGGCGGGTTGAGACGCTGCCAGCAAGCGCATGTCCGGCTCGTCCTCCCGGGCCGCGGCCGGTGGGGCCGGCTCGGACCAACACCACGCGCTGGGAAAGCTGGACCGGCGCCGCGGGAAAGGCGGCAGCGGGAGACGCGCCACGGGCCTTCGTGGCCACCCACGCACCGCTGGTTACCACGGAAAAGTAAAACTACACAGAGATGAGTGAAAGCCGAGTGGAACGTGAATCGGTCACATGGGCTTGTGGCTTCGAAATGTTTTTCCTCAATTCCAGGTGTTTGATGGCCCCTCACCCCTAAACGGCCGCTGTGGTGCCAAAGCATAATGCAGGCGCATCAAAGACACTTTAGATGATGTTTAAGTGCATAGAACGAAAGACGCACAATTCAGTTAAGGAACAGCACATGCAAATGAACAATCTTGTGCAAGAAATGGCAATCACGGAAACTGCCACTTGTGGAGGGACCCAGACAGATGGCAGAGGTTTGAGGAGGAGAGCGCCTTTAATGAAATACATAGTTTTTTCTTTTTAACTAAAGCGGTATTTTACATAACTACTGTTGAGACAGCCTTTAAAAAGTGTACATAGCAATAGATTACTCGGCAACAGGAATATATATAAATATATGTAACATTTATGATGTATATACATACATGTAACAGAATTGTTGCAAAAGATCCTGTTCACCCAACCTTAGCTTGAGACAAAAATGCCAGCACGTGGAAGCATCCAGCACATCCAGTGTCGGCGCCATCTGCTTTATTCCGCGTGTACACATTCCTAAAGGTCAAGTGGTTTGTGCTGTACATGAAAAATATTTTAAGAACCCATTGAAAGTTGCTTTATCTTCCTCACTGTGTTTTGAAATTCACCTGTGATAGGTTGTATAATTCCTGTAGTTTGTTTTCACTGCTATATAGTATTTCGTCAAACGACTATCAGTATACTAAGCCATTTGTCTATTGTAGCGCTCTGCATTGGCTCCATGTAGGCAATACTTATATGAGTATTTTGCTGGCAGAAATTCCCAACTTAATATCCTTTTATCTATAAAAAATTATATTTGTGGGCCCTCCCTGGTGGTGCAGTGGGTTAAATCAAAGCACTAAGAAGCTAAAGTCACTTCAGGATGAGTCCAATCCCCGGCCCCGGAGGTGACCCACATGGCGCGGCAGACCTCTCCTGACCCGCCCGCTGCTCCCCTCAGCAGTGTACTTCGTCTATCTGCCTGTTCTGCTCCCCACTCTGTCTCTGGTGATTCCTGTCACCGCACCTGTGCCTCTGGCCTGTACCCCAGTTCTGTATACATAAAAAAAATAAATCTTTCCAAAAAATTATATTTGTAAGGACCCTCCCTGGTGGCGCAACAGGTTAAAGCACAGTTTACATAGCCACTGTGGCATGAGTTCGATCCCCAGCCAGGGAGTGACCCACAGGGTGCAGCCAACACCTCTTGTCTCCCCTCAGCAGTGTATTTCAGTTGATCTGCCTGCTCTGCTCCCCACTCCGTCTCTGGGGGATCCTCTGAACACCCTGCATATCTGACCTGCACCCCAGCTCTTCAGCTCTTGTGTGCATAAATAAAGAAATCTTTAAAAGAAATCTTAAGTGTGTAGCTTTATACATTTTTGGATAATAAATCTATTAATATAAACCCCCAAACACATTCACACTGGGTGGTTTCACTTTATACTTTGTGAGCAATTTTTAATTTTAATTGGATAGAAATTTAATTTTGTGGGTAACTTGTATTAAGAATCAGTATCAAATGGGGCCCTACCTGGTGGCATGGGGGTTAGGACGCAGCTTGGCAAGTTAGCGACAGCCGCTTCGGTGCAAGTTGGATTCCCAGAGATGATCCACGTGGCGCGGCAGACCTCTCCTGACCCACCCGCTGCTCCCCTCAGCAGTGGACTTTGACGATCTGCCTGTTGTGCTCTCCACTCTGGTGAATCGTCTCACCACCCCTGCACCTCTTGACCAGTACCCCAGTTCTGTATGAATGAGTGAATCTTTTAAAAAAAGAATCAGGATCAAGTAGACTCCTAGAAGCTTTGATGTTTCTGCCTGTCAGTGCAGGGCGTAGAAAGAAACCAAGGGCTGTACTAGCAAATGATCCAGGTAAGCCAGGTGTGCGAAAGAAGAAAGCCCCCAGCTGCTGCTGTGTGCTCTGAGGACTGAAGGCCAGAAAGCATTATGCTAAATAAACAACCCCTCAACTCCTGTTTCTCAAGTCATCCTGGGGTGCCCTGCACTCTTACCCTTTGGACTCCCCCAATACCTAGATCCAGCATCTTCCTCTTGCCGGTTTACCCCTATATCCTGGTGAAGGAAGCGTCCTCAGCAATGGTCCTGCCTGGGATGACAAGGATCAGTGTCCGGTCACTCGGATCATGAAAGCTCTTCCCCCGCCTCAAGCTTCATTTCAAGGACAGAAGTAGCTTCTGACACAGGTGGAGAAGAGAGACTGGCCTACGTGGCCAGCCCTTTGGTCAGGACACACATGCCCAGAACACACGACGTCTAAGAAGTGCCTGCCGCTCCATTTCTTAAGCCAAAGGCATATTTCCGGCAGGGCATGTGTCTATCCAGATGGCTGCATGGCCCGAGCGACATTTTGCCGGGAGCCACGCCCCATGAGTTAACAGATTCCAAGAGGTCGTGTTCATTCATTGTTGCCACAAGCCACCCTGGCGAGACCAGGTGTGGCCTGCTCAGCCTTTGTCAGCGTGCCACGCCCACCCGCCGCCCACCAGCCACGCTTCAGCACTGACTGGCCCGAGGCCGCTCTTGAGCATGTGCACAGGACGTCTCACTGCAGGCCGCCTGCCTTCTGCCTCGGGATTAGGTCTGAAAGGCTACATTCCTTCTACATTAGAGAGAACGGTTTCCAACCTTGTTTCAGTCCTGGTCCAATCAGGCATTAGAAACCACGTTAGCTATTTAATAGGTCATGGTGCATTGGAATTCCCATGATCAGCTCCTCAGAACTAGACTCAAAGGGCCTTCAAAAACAGCAAATCAACCTCATCCCCACAGGCAGGAGGGGACGGACAGAAAAGACAGCTTGGGAAGAGACTGAAGGCACGCCCAGACCCTCTAGGAGGGACACTTGGTGGGAGCTGGCCGCCCCCAGAGAGGGGAAGCTGGAAAGCAGAGCCCGCTCGCCAGAATTCGGGGGGCAGTGAGGGCGGGGACAGCAAGCCCCTCTGCAAATGCAAACTTCCCTCTCTTGTGGCCCCAATGGGCTGAATGCACAGAGTCAGCTGGGTAAAGGGAAAGCTAGGTTCAGTGTCTCCGTCAGTCATCACAACGCAGAATATAGCAGAGGCGGTGGGAGTTAGCAGATAACGGGCATAAAGGCACAAGCCACTCTTGGAGACACACATGTACCCCACCTTTTCCGCATGATTTCCATCCGAGAGACCTTGTGGATCTCATTGTCTCATCCTGTAGTCACAACTCCATGCACCGCCGTAAGTATGCAATGCCAGCCCGTCATTCACCAGCCAATCTCGGTGTTGCGCCTGCTGGAGCCCGGACAAATATCTACTATGCAAACGCTGGCTAATGTGGAAACTCCAAATGAATGTTTCAGTCCTCTGTGGAAATCATCTGTGCCCTCATTCACTTAGTCTTTAATCTCCTGGATGGATCCTCTCTGTTCGTGTTTCATAAATGCCTTCGTGTTTTCATAAATGTGACCATTCGCAAAATTTACTCAGTGTTGTTTTTTTTTAATATCATCTTTTCAAAATGAGTTTATCGTCAAAAGCGCAGAGCTGTTTTTATTTGCGGAAACCCATTTGTCAGCCTTCAGTAAGTCTTACTTGTCAAACTTAACATTTTTTTCCAACCGAGAAGAAGCATTCACCAAGGACTCAAAAAGCCTTTTCCTATTTTGGGCTCATGTGTCCCGGTTTACCCTCAGACATTGCTGTTAATTTCATCCCTGTCATTTCTACTTTCTCTGGTCCATCAAGAACTCCTGCCCCCAGTCTACATGGCTGAAGTTTACATGGATGACTTGCTCACTTTGAACTTTAGAAGTAAATGTAACATTTCTGGAACCCAGGTCGATCAGTAAATCTGCCTTCCCGCCCCCACCCCCACCTGGACCCTTCCTTCCCACGTGAATACACATGATTCCAGAGACACGGTTTGGACAGAGGTGCCCTTGACAGTCCCCAGGACTCCTCACCCCTGTCTGTTCAGTTGACATTTCATTAAGCCCAGGTGCGACCATGACATCCTGTCTCCCTTCCTGCTTCTAGCCAAGCTCACGCAGACAGCGGCAGAGTCTGCTGGCTTGTGACATAAATCTCCCCAGTGAGCCCCCCCCTCCCAACCCCCATTTAAGCCTCTTTCTCTGACAGCCCAGCTTTCTGGTCCCTTCTCTTTCAAAACCCGGTCCAAAATATCCCGTCCTAGAAATAAACTTCTCCGCGTTTGGCCTCAGATGATTTAATGACAACAAAAGATAGTGAAATGTGTTACTTGTGCTTCAATGCGGGGAGCAGCGACGTGAGAATGAGAGAGCCCAGGCAGTTCACGGACGGAGTCCTAGCAGTTACGTGTTCTCTGTGGCCGCGGGTTCATCACCTGCAAGTAGAAATGTTGATACCTGCCCTGCTGATCTCAGAGACGTGAGGACAAGTTTCACGCACAAGCAGACACCAAGGCCCACGCTCTGCAGGGAAGGCGCTGGAACTCAGGGCTCAGTGGGACACACCGCAACACATGCCCCCTGTCCTGCCTCAGCTGATCTCGCCTTTCCGT